TGTCACGTTATTTATTATGTTGACATTTTTCTTTGTAATTTTTACTCATTTTTCTTTTTTGTTTTGTCTTAGATTTTCATTTAATTAAGATAAAAATTATTTATAAATATACATACGTAGCTACTTATATACAAGATATAATATTATTATCTAAATAGGTAAGATTATTGCCAAAAATTATATTTTATGTGCTACGTATTGTTTGTATTTTAGTACACTTATCCCTCGCTTAACGGAAGCTCGATAATTATACGGAATTTAGGTTTTACAGAATTCAAAAATCAGTCCAAAGTCTGTTTTTCCGGAAAAAAATTCGATTTACGGAAAATTTTTAAAATGGAAAAATGATTCTTGTTGTCTAATGTTGTACATAGTAATAATGAAATCCTACTATATTTTTTGAAAATATCAAAAATATCAAAATATATATGTACCTATATTAGATTAGGCAAAAAATTATGTGGCTGTTACGTAATGTAAGTAAAAAGATTCGATTTACGGAATTTCGATTTACGGACAACTTTTCCGGAACATATTAGTTCCGTAAAGCGAGGGATGACTGTATAACATAATGTGTTATAATTATAACATTATTTTATATATGTGTTTTATGGCTATGTAGTATAAACAAAAAGTTAATGAAAACATAATTATATTTAAATTTTTTATACTCAAACCTTGTTCTATTGCTTTGTTGTCTTCTTATCTCTTAAATTCTGCATATATAATATGTATGTATGATTGTATTAATATTGAAAATTCTTTTAAATTAAATTAATTTTTACTCGAAAAAGAAATTATTTAACAAAATATATTCAAAAACTGAATAACAATATTATTTTTATAATAAATTTCGTACTTATTTAGATGCAATCTAAATGTTTAATTTTCATTTTGCTTTATAATTTAATTTGATTAAACTGAATTAATCATAATCACTTCAACGAGTACGTACATGCATATACACACATTTCGTTTAAAATAACAATGTTTTATTCGAATTAATTTTAAAATATTTACAAGCATTTCCTAGCAAAAATTTTTAGATATACATATTATATACTAATTATATACTAATTTTTTTTAATTAAATTGAAAATTTAAATAATATATTTTTTCTAATTTCATTTTAATATTAGAGATTATAGATATTAGACATAATTATAGTTTCTTTTCATTTATATTGACATAATATTTAATTTAATAATATCAAAAAATTTTTGAACTATAAATTATCAAAATCACTGTAATTTTAAATGAAATGAATATTTTATATTATGATGTCAATTCAATATGTACGTAGGAATATCCTAACTCTAATGTAGTTTTTATAACAAATTCTATAATCCTATTACTCCAATCAATATTTTCATTTAAAATTATTCAAATATTATTTCAAAATTGTATGAAAATAATTTATACATGAGCACTGTGGAACTTTAGTTAAAATTAAATTCTTATAATAATCTTTTATTAATTTATTACTATTATTTAATATATATACATACATATATTTTTGATAATAATAAAAACTATTTCACTATATTTGTATGTTGGTATAAATTATTGGGAAGAAAGAAATCCATAGAAATCTATGAATCTATCAATTCTTTTGTATGTAGGTTAATCGGCAAAATATTAAAAAAAAATTGTAGATCTAATGTTTATTTATGTAAAATTTCAATTGTATGCTATATATACACATACATATATCTATGAATGATGAACATGAACGTACATACATATATATTTTACAAAAAATAAAATGGCACAAGTAATTTATTAAACTTAGCTTATAAAAATATTTTTTTGTTTTTGTTTTTTAGTTAATTAATATTTAATTAATATTAGCTATTTATAATAAAAATTATACATAGATTATAGTTTACAAACTTTGGGTTTTTAATACACTAATACGTAGAGTTGCTGTAGTTCCAATTATCCGGTAAAGCATTATTTTCGTGTTTACAATTTTCAAATAAAATTATAATTTCTAATATTTAATAATTTCTATATATAAATGGTTTATTTAAAATTTAACTTAGTAATATTTACATATATTATTAAATTTGTATAATATTAAAAAAAAAATTGCACTTGTTTTATATTTTTTTTTAGTTATATAAAATTATATTACAGTTATTATTGATTTTTTTCTATTTTTTCTCACTATATTAACGCTACTAGTATAAAATGTATAATTTTATTAAACCAAAATACTATGAATACAAAAAGTATTTAAATAATTAAACAAATATATTTTAATTTTAATAAAAATTATATATTTTCCGATTTTTATTAATAATTTATTGATTGAAAATGCTATTTTGTATTGTAATAATTTCTTTTTAAAGTTTCTTGAACACTTTTCAGTTTTGGTTTTTTTCTTATAAAAATGTAAGAAATAAATAAACAACAATAATTATGAGTTTTATACATTTACGGTAAAGTGTATAATGTACGTAATATACTAAAAAGGATACTGAAAATTATTTCGAAAAATTTTTTGACAATTCATAAAAATATCAAATGAAAAATCTCCGCACCCTTATTATTATTTTTATTGTTTTTGTTCTCATTTTAATATTCTAAAATTTTTTGAGAAAACTGAGAGAGAATTCCATTTCCCTGATTTTCCCCTGAAATTTTATATAAAATCTATATTATTACACATATATAATATAGCTGCATAATACAGAAACAGAATATGTTTGCGAGTACTCACATGATAATAGGAAATATTAAAAACTTTGAACAATTCTCCCGAAAATAAACTTTTTAAATTTTTTCGTTAATCGTTACACATCTATTCATTACTTACATAATAAATAATATTTTCAATATTATGTCATTTTTTCTTTACATTGTATTTGCTCTCTTAAATTTACAAATACGACCAAACGAATTCTCTAAATATAATGTGAAAATTAGATTTTCATGAAAATGAGAAATATAATTTATGTCATGAAAGAGAAAAATATATCATGCAATAGGAAATCAGTAAATTTTATCGCTGATATATACTATACAATCTAGCTGTTTATTAACAATTTTTAAAAAGTGCGCATGCATACTGATTTTGCGTACAATTAATAAAAAAAGTGTTTTGACATTAAATTGAATGATAAACAGCTGATCTATTTGACATATTTTTATTTATTTACATTGATTAGCTGCATAACAATAATATCTGCACATTTCATAATTCTGTAAAAAAAATGTATAATATATTAAATGTTGCTATGAGTCACATAATTTAATATTCATTCACACATCCAAACAAATACTTAATATGAATTTAAAAGAAAATTTCTTTATATTAGAAAAATTCGTATTTTTAAGAAATTACAGTATAGTTTTTTTTTCATTTATTATACCTGTACGAACGTATGTTCGAAGGGTATACTAAATTTGCCTTACCGTTTGTAACGCTAAAAAATAACGGTCTTATATATAGACTCAAGTGTATGTTTTTGATCAGCGTCGAATTCTGAGTCAATTAAGTTTTGTTTGCCCGTCTGTCCGTCCGTCTGCCATGATCGGGGTACCGGTTCGGGTACCTGCTATACAACTTCAAAATTTATTTGACTATATCTTAGAAACTATAAAAGCTATGATAAATTTGACATAAGTAAATATATTAGTGGGACCAATGTGTTAGACAACAAGCGATGAAATTGCTTGGCTCCTTCTGGTAACTGCCATACAACCCCAAAAGTTATTTCATTATATTTCAGAATCTATAAAAGGTGTGGTATTGAAATTTCACACAAGCGAATAAATTAGTTGGACCAATGTGTTTGATGAAATTCGTTGAAATTTCTTGGCTCTTTCTGGTAACTGCCATACAACTTCAATAGTAGTGTGGCCATATCTTAGCTAGTATTGAAAAGTACATATGGAACAATACTGAATTATTGAACAGTACTGAAATTTTGCATAAATTAATATGGTAACTTAAAGTTATAGTCTGTCATAGAGTTGACACGGTCAACTATATTTTTTCTCGTTTTTACTTAAAGTTTTCATTCAAACTATAACATATAGTTTTTATTTGACTAAGTATGATGTTCATGTAATGTAAAACCAAAAATAATAAAAATAAGTAAATGTAAACCCTTGTACAAACACTTGTTTTTTTAAGAAGATTTAAGAAAAAAAGTTTAATATGAATTTGGTATTGTTCTAACTTTAAAGCTGCTATAATTGCGGCTAAAAATTAAGATAAATTTTTCAAACTTTACATGAATGAATGGACTTCATATAGGAATGAAGTATTACCTAGAAAAGGAATGAATATTTATATGGAAGAGAACATACAGGACAACTTCAATCCTAAAATAAGGGATCCGGTGTAATTGTACTGAATTATTGGGCTTTAACAATTTTATATACGGGAGTTGGCATAATTACTGGAGTGATTCTGTATATTGTACATACTGATTGAATTATAGACAAACATACATAGCGGAACAAGAACTTCACAATACATTGAGTACTTCCTAAAAATTATTTTACGTATGTATATATACCAACAGAGGAACGGAAACATCAAGTTGCTTTTTGAAAATATCTTGAATAATTACATTTTTCAGACTCTCACATTTTGGCTCTTAAACTGAATATGTATACATATGTTGTGAATGAAGTATTTTAAATTGAAAATATATGATAAATATCATAAATTGGAATAAGCAGTAGTGATCCTCTACTAAGATTCAAGACAAATTTTCATATGTATCTGCAACTTTGTATAAATTTAAATTTTGCAAGAATCAAAAATAACATTTTCTTAGTAAATCCACATAAATTTATATTCATAAAAATTTATACAAATTTTACATAATATGATTATTAATATATTTCGTATTAGTATATTAGTAATGAATATGCTTTATTAATATTATGAAATATGTATAAGTAACTAATGTATTTCATTGTTCTGGTCCAAATATTTCTTTAAACAACTAGTATACAAATTATTCTTGTGTACATCATATTTAAGCAGGAAGAAAATCTGAATAACCGACAAAAAGGTAATAATAGCCTGACTTCGGTACTGATGGTTCACCACCCATTAGAATATCACATACTCCATCATTTATTGGTGGAAGCATTGAAAAAATATCGTCCCAAGTTGTTGGTTTACCACAAAATTTTATTTTTGAATTTAAAGAATTTGCAAAATAATCAATTGAAGAAGTATGACTACAAAATTGATCACCTGGACTGAAAGACCTTATTAAATAATGTGGACAAGATGGTTGAACACGTCTACCATTATTTGGATAAAATTGTGCATGCCCTAAAGTTTCATTTGTACTAAAACCATTGTAATACATATCAGTAACTACAACTTCAACATATTTTGCATCAGATGGGTCTAATCTATTATTTGTTGATGTTTCAACAAAATCAGTTCCAGTCGGATCTAAACCATATATTGTATTAAATTGATTTGGTAATATTGATTCTCCAACAGCTCCAGCTACATGTGCCCCTAAACCATGACCAATTAAATACATATCATCGAATGAAACGTCCATATGCGTATTCAAGAATTTTGTAAAATTTCCAACTAACTTTCCAACATCATTTACACTAGCAGCAGCAAAAGTATACTCTTTAGTATTATAATCACTCCAATCAACAAGTATAAAATTAAAATCTCCAATTTCAAAGTACGCGTCCCTTACAACTGCTATTTTACAATGTTTTGCTGTTGTTTTCCAAGAATTTATAAAAATTCTATAAAAACAAATTTGTTAAAAGTTTATTAAAACCGCATATAAAATATAAACAATATTTACCTTGTAGGCCATTCTTTATTAAATTTTGAATTTTGTAAAGACAGAACGTCTTGATCTTTGATTTCTGTTCCTTCTAAAATATTATCTCTAGTAAACAAATAATATCTTATTTCGGGATCAGTTATATTTGGAAAACGTAATTGTGTTGATTTTTCACAATCATTGGAATCAAGAATAATACAAAAAGTTGGAACTGGAATTTAAAAGTAAATACATATACACTTTTTTTCTTGACAAACTCTAATCTAAAATGTTGTACCTAAGAATACGAGTACCAAATTGATGAATACTAATTCCAGAAATTGATTCGAATACGCCAACATTTTCAAAATAAAATTGAAAATTTATCAAACGCTAATCAAAAAAAAATTTATTTCGTTTACCTTGTTTGCGTCAACAAACTTCGGTACTGTTTTTTATTTAACAATAAAATTCTATTCATGTAAAAGTTTAGTCGAAATTCACAATAGAAAAGTAAAGAGCGTTTTTAATGATTAATTAAAGCAGAAAAAAGTTGTAAAGGATTAGTACTACTTAAGGCGAGTAGAACTGAGGTATACGAAACATATATAACTCAAAAATATCTTAAACGTATACGTTACGTTGGTCAGTAGATAAGTGTTAAAGTTTAATAAGCTTCCAATTTAAAACCAAATTATATTATTAGTAACAAAAGTATTCAAGAAATATATCAACGAACTCTAATCATAAAAACCAACAGATGGAAAACAAAAACAGTTTAAATTAATATCAGATTTATTAGTTGTTATGTAAAGATTACCCAGACTGAGCAAGCACACAGAAATTTTAAGAGAAACTAAATACATTTTATTCAAAACCCTAAAACTGGAACTAAATATTAATTTCACTTTTAAGTTTGGAACAAAATTTTCATTCGAATTATTGTCAAAAAAATGATTAAATATCATTAAAATTATAGTTTAATTGGTATATAGAAGCTCGCTTCTATATCCAGATTCAACTGTAACAAGCTTTTCTGTAAATTATTTGTTATTTCAGGTGAAAATGAAAAATTGTTTTGTGAGATTTAAAGGCAAAATATTAAAAAGCTATACTTATTTAGTAAATGAAATATTTTAAAACAAACAGATTAAACAAAGTCCACATATAAACAAACTGTTTAAAATTAAATTTCGTTCACAATAATTTATTTTTAATTCTATAGCGACCGACGGCTTTTTTCCAAAACCGTTTTTTACTGTTCTTATCTATTCTATATCATCCACATCATTGTTCCAAAATAAAATTTTTACTTGCACATACATATATATATGTATATATATTATCCAAAATAATCCAGGTCAGGATATACATATGTACTTATATATAGTATATATTATATTTTGTAACATAATAAATGCAACTCAAATTCTTAAAGTTATTGAATGTACTTACTTTTTAATTGCTATTTATTATCCCGATTATTTTTGAGGAGGGAAGTTATAACCATTGTGCACAATGCAATAAAAACTAGCAAATGATATAAATTACAAAAATTTATAAAAATGTTCAAATATACATAAATGTATGTGTCTTATATTAATCTAATTTTTAGCAAAACGTATATGAAAAATTTCTTGTTTAGAAATAGTTATTAATATGGCAAATAAACCGTGTACGAATTAAAATTTTTAAATACTTCTTTTCATAAACCTAGTTTATTTATTGAGAAAATTATTTTTTTTATTTTTAATTCTTAAAATAGATTAATTAATTTTTATAATTATATTAGAGTATACAAATTTTTAAACTCTTTTTAAAATAGGAAAATTAGTTTTTAAAAGACACTCCTATGTGTCATTAATGTTTAATATTATTCAAAATTAAAATTCACCACATTCACCATATTTCAAAATTAAAAAACAGTTTCTTGTTAACAACATTTAAATTTTGAGGCATTTTAATGTCTTTCAAAAATTTTCATAAGCAAATTTAGTTTTCAAGATTTAGCAAAATTATTAAATTAACAAAATTTATAAATAATGAATATTACAATATTCTTATACATATTTATTATTTAAACTATGGTGGTAGTGGTACTGAAGTTTGTGTAGGAACGTAAAGAATTCCGTTCTTAGGTTGTGACGGATCACCACCCATTACGTAAGTGCACAAACCATCATCTTGTGGTGCAATTGATAATACCATGTTCGGAAAAGTAGTTGGTATAGCACAAAATTCTATACCTTCCCCTAAACTATTAGCAAAATAATCAACAGCAACAGCGTGACTACAAAATTGATCAGTACTTAAGACGGAACAAGATGGTTGATAACGTTGTCCAAAATGTGGATAACATTGTGCATCCCCTATTGGTCCTGGTAAACTGTATCCTAATCCTGCAATCATATCAGTAATTATTGCTTCAACATAAGCAGCATCATTTGGATTTAATATGTGAGAAAGTGTAACACCCGCAACGACTCCGTCAGGATCTAAGCCAAATATTGTATTAACTTGATTTGGTTTTATAGAACTGCCAGCTGCCCCGGCTACATGTGCCCCAAGACTATGCCCAATTATATAAATATTATCATAAGGCACACCATAATTATATAAGAAATTTATAAAATCTCCTATTAATTCTCCAACATATGCAACATCAGCAACAGCAAAAGGATATTCTTGTGTATTCCAATCACTCCAATCGGCTATAATAAAATTAGTAGGTTTATCATAAGATGCTGCTTCATAATAAGCATCTTTTAATAATGCTGTTCTACAGTTATTTGGAAAAACCTTCCAACCTCCAACAAACAATCTATAAAAACATTTAAAAATAATATAATTATTATAGTTTAAATTTAAAATTAAAATTTTTAATAAAACAAATAACGTAAAAACCAACCAACCTTGTACGCCATTGTTTATTGAAATGCGAAGAATCTAACGATCCAAAATCTTGATATATGATTTCTTCACCTTCTATTTGATTATTTGGGGTGAATAAATAATATCGCATTTGAGGATTCGATGCAGGGGGATAAATTGTTAACGGACTAAATTTCACACAATTATCATAGTCCACAATTATAGAAAATGCTGGAACTAAAATTTAATCTTTAATATAAGACCTTATAAATTTTAATTAAGTTTTAAAATTTTTACCAATAATTAATAAGAGTAAAGGAAAAATTCTAGTAGGATTTATATAACCAGGGAGCAGCAACATCTTGTTTTGTTGTTAAATTGAATTCAACTAAAAGTTTTTTTCATTAACCCCCTAATTTATACTATGATTTCATATTATACATTAAAAAAAATATTTGCTTTTTTTATTGTGCAAAAATTTATATCAATAAAAGTAGAAACAATGTTTTGGAATTTAGGTGTCATTTGTGACGCAAAAATATACCCAAAACTCATAGACATTATCATAAAATAGAATAACCGTTTTTAATATATTAAGGTAATAAAAGTCTTTTTTTCGATAATAATAAATTAAAGTTTAAGGACTCGTATCATTTGCAACTATGCCATACAGCTTAAAAATAATTTAATGGCATTCCGAAATTAGTCAATATAAGTATCATAGAGTTGACATGGTAAACTTTGCCTATTCCCGTTTTCTGCTTTTATTCTTCAATTCTTTATATATTTTTCATATGTTCATACATTATTAAATTTAAACTAAATTTATAATATCGATATTTATGGATGACTATTAAATTTTGCACCCCAAAAATAGAACTTTATAATATTATAGTTTATTATACGAGCGCAATTAAAAATTCTTTTGTCGTAATGTGCTATGTTTGAGTATTAGATGCGTATAGCATCACAATAAATATATCTACATATTATAAAACTGTTTTAAAACATATTATAAAACTGTATAGTGGATTGTCTTATGACCACATAGTGGATTAACAAAAGTGCTGCAAAAAAAGTAAAATCGGCCCCCAAGTTCAGCTTTTGAGCCCCGATATTCCCAAAAAAATTATATGTTCATTGTTTTGACACCGTTAATTTAATTATTATACTTCAAGGAAATTGAATGATTATTTCTCTTTACATACATAAAAATCAGGTAGTTTCTCAATTATAAAACTAAGCTTATATATAAAATTTTAATAAAATCTACTGAATATATTATTAAAAATGATTAAAGATGTAAAATAGGCCTGTAAAGATATCTAATTCCCGGGTCCTGACATATCGAATAAAACGTGACATAAGCAAAGTAACTTCATATACTAATTTTTATCAAAATCAGTTCAGCTGAACTTACAGACCAATAGACCAACGTCTCTCTAAAAATAGTTCCTTCGCGCTTTCCTACTTTTAAAAATCGCATTTTTATCAAAAACTCAACCACCATCACATAACCTCGCTTATTGCATGCAATGCAGTCGGTAATTTATTGAAAAATTATTAAAATGTATTCAGACGAATATTCGGAATACTAAGCTAATTATTTAAAAATAAATCTGATGAAATACACTCTTTTAACATATTTCGTAAACTGTTGCTTTTTTCAGATGTGCAATTTATGTACTAATGTAATTTGTTTTTTCAAGTGGATATCAAAAAAGTCAAAATTTTAAGTTAAGCGTGTCTATCTTAAAAAATTTTACAGTCAATATTTAATATGTAGTTCACTGACTCACTGATAGACAGGCTTTAATGTTTTTTTGTAAATTAATTTTTCATATGTGTATTTAAATTCATTAACAAACTCATTTAAATTTTATAAAAATATGAATATACAATAGTAAACTTGGTCTTAGCTTGAAAAAAGATTACAAATTTATCTAAATTACAAAGTTGAGAGTTTCAACAAAAAAAAAGTTTAAAAGTCAGCATTTAAAAAATCTTTGAAAAACCTACTTGCAAGGCAAATGCTTTAAAAAAATTAACAAAATAGCAGCAAAGTTGAACTACCTTTTAGCATTTCCCCGAAAAAAATCCGTCTGTCTGAAAAAATCTGTCCGTCCGTCCGTGCGCGAACTACAAAATTTTTGCACTCTTAAAGATAGAAGGCTGAAATTTCATATGTACATAGATCTTTACTAGAAACTTATTTCCGTAGAAGAAAATTTTTACCTATTTCCCACCCTAAAAGTTATATTTCCCAAAAACCCTAAAAACGCCATTATTCAACTATTTATTGCAGTGAAGCCACAAGCATTTTTCAAATTTTGCAAACACAAAATAGTAGTGCCTGGCTTCTTCAACCGGCATAGTACACTTGAACCAGAAATAAGTAAGAGATTCTGAATTGAAACATTTTTTGGTTAGATGTCACTACGTGCTCCGAAATCAAAATTTTCAGAAACTGAAAAACATAAAAACAATAAAAACAAAACGTAAAAAAAATAAAAAAAAATTTTAATTTTAATATCTTGTGAATTTTAAAAAAATATTTAAATAATTTTAAAAATGATGTTGATGAATTTGGTGCTAATGATATTGATCATTTTGTCTTTCATTTATTTCCATTTCATTTTTTTTTGGAACATCAGAAATTTTGAAAAATAAGTGCTTAAAGTTTCTTTCTGTCTGTGCACTCGTTTGCAAAACTTCTACACCCTTGAAGAAAGAAAACTGAAATTTTATAATATGTATGTAAATAAATGGATCCTTACTAAAAACTTACTTCCGCTGAAAAAAAATTTCTCTTCTTTTCCTTTAAAAGTTATAACCCCTCAAAGAGTCATTTTAAAGAAACCATAAACATTCAAATACAAAAAAGTTGCGGCCAACATTTTTTACAGCGGCGCAACATAACTGGATATTAAAAAAGAAATGTCTTCTATAATTAATCGTTACCTAAAGCTCATTTCTTTTCAAGTTTTTGATATCAGTTTTCCTGATGATTTCATTTTAACGTTACACTCGATTTCAATATCAAATTGATCAAATAAAAATTGACTATGGAGAAACTAAACTTAAATATAAAATAAAACGAATGTAAAACGAGTTTATTACAAAGCTGATTTTTATTATGTTCATGTACACACATATTATGTACATGTATTATCTCACAATAATTACTTATCATCCACACTTATAAGAAATAAATAATTTTTAAACAATAATCAACAATATTATAAGAATATTTATAAAATTATTAAGGTGGAAGAGGTCCTCCACTACTTACAGGAACAAAAAAAGTACCATTTTTTGGAATTGATGGATCCCCGCCCATTACAAAGTCACATATATCACTATTTTGTGGAACAACTGATAAAAGTATATTACTAAATGTCGTTGGTAATGCACAAAATTCTAAATCTTCATTTAAACTATTGACAAAATAATCAACAGCAATACCATGACTACAAAATTGGTCATTTAAATTTAATGATGAACAAGATGGTTGATATCGTCTTCCAAAATGTGGATATAATTGTGCTTGACCTAATGGTATTTCTGAACCATATCCAAAACCAAACATATCTGTTATAATTACTTCAACATAAGTAGCATCATTTGGACTTAATCTGTATTGTGGCAATAGACCAATAAAACCTATTCCAGCTGGATCTAAACCATATATTGTATTAATTTTATGTGGTTGTATAAAATCGCCAACGGCTCCAGCAACATGCGCCCCAAGACTATGCCCAATTATATAAATATTATCATAAGAAATACCATTGCTATTTAAAAAATTTATAAATTTCCCAATTAATCTGCCAACACCATTTACACTTGTCGAAGCTAATGCATATTCTCTTTTATTCCAATCACTCCAATCTGCTACAATAAAATTAACATTTCCAATTCTATAATAAGCATCTTTTATTAATGCTGTTTTACAGTTCTGTGGTGTTGTCTTCCAACCGCTAATAAATATTCTAAAATAAAAAATTAAAAATTATTTATAAATTAAATATTTTAAAATAAAATTGAAATAAAATTTTATTAAAAGTGTGACCGATAACCAGAAACCTTGTTGGCCATTCTTTATTAAATTTTGATTCAACAAATGATGTTACATTTTGATCCAAGATCTCTTCACCCTCTAACAAATTATCTGATGTAAACAAATAATAACGCATCTGAGGATTCAATACAATTGGATAAATTGTTAGCGGGTTGAATTTTTCACATTTATCAAAATCAATAATTATAGACAATTCTGGAAATATAAAAATAGAAAAAAAATCTTAACAACTTAATTGATATGTATACATTATGTATAATATTAAACTAGAAATTTTTTACCAACTAATGGCATCAAAATGCAGCAAGTTATAATAAAACTGAAATAAACAGATCTTAGCACCATCATACCCTATTCTCAAATTGAATTAAACTGAAAGGCTTTTTAATTCACCTTTAAATTTATAGTTTTTGCCTCACAACAAAACAAATAAAAACGAAAATAGTTTCTTATTCTTCTGCATGTGATTTAAAAAACTTTAAGCAATAAAATTAAAGCATATGTTACAGATAACATTCTTAAAATGTATGCATATTTTCTTTACCTAGAACATAGAAAATTGAAAGTTATTATAAAATACGGTTAACGCGTTTAACACTACGAATTGATTGAATACAATTTTAATTTCTGAAATTTGAATTTTCGTCAATTGCTAAATTGTTTTTGTTTGATTTTACGTTTGTTATTGTGTAATTATTCAATTGATAGTAAAATTATGTAATAGACTTCCTTAAGTTTGACATTTCGATTAAGATTTTCATACAGATTTCTGTTAATAAGCTACAGCAATAAGCTAAACTGTATATAAAGTTTAATTGAATGACGTACCTAAAAATACTTACCAAAACATATTATAAAGACTTAATTTTTTACCGTTAAATGCTCTCTTAAATACCCTATTATAAGGAATGTCAAATATTTGTACAAATATACATATGTACACATATATAGACATATATTTTTCTTTATTTCATTATTTCTTAAATAAAAAAGAAAGTCTTTGAAGTTTCGGTTTTAAATTTTACTTTTAATAAATTATAATTTGGAGTTCATTAAAATTCATTATAAATTATAGGTCAATTTTTATTCATGCTCTAAATAGTCTACTAAATTATAATCAATGCGACCAATAGGGTTATCAAGATATATAATATCTAAGTAGCAAAATATATCGATGAAATTTTTATGATATTAACTCGATTTTTTGTATAATTCCTTTATATCGGCATATCGATAGTTTTTTTGCCCATATTTATCGATTTATTTCAATATTGACTTTTCTCTACTAATTCCCGATAGCGTTTTTCAAATTTAATGACAGGTATATATTTATTGATTTAGTCAACTTCGAATTTAAAGCGTCGTAAACTAAATGTTTTAAGAAATAAAAATTTTGTAATAAAAATAAAATTGTCTATACAAATTTTTTCCATTTAAAATACTAGAAATATAGAAAACATTTATAAATCGATAATTTTTTCGACAATATTATATTAACCAAACGATATTTACGAAAAAAAACTCATTTAATATGTATTTGTGCCGTATCGATATTTTTATGCTGTAAGTCACAACCCTAAATCCGATAAAATAAAAGCTAAAGCTGATGTTACCATTTTATGAATTCTTAATTTCTCATAACTCTGAGAAAAGGGAAATAACTCTAATGGTATGAAATAGGTATGAAACAAGTTTCAAATAAATGCTTCCCAATCATTGAAAAAGCTTACAAGAAATACGTATGTATGTATGCTTGTTGATTGACTGAATTTATGTCGTTATCGATATGCAACTAATCAGTAAATAATGCAATGAGTTTGAAAGGCGATGTGAATCAATATCCTGCAATTGTGATTTTTTGTTTACATTTTAGATTTCGAAAGTATAGAAGAAGATTGAAGTACAAAAACTACAAATACTATGCGCCTCACGACAAGTCTTACATAATACTAAAAGGCTTTGGAAATTTCGATTTCAAAATTGTAATTTCAAATTATTGTGCACATTGTGCAAGCTATATTTCCAGTTTTTGAAATTACCAAAATGGAAATAATTAATAAAGATAATAATTTAAAATAATTACTACAGCCGTTCACTTTCGAAAAATAATATTGTCAAATCTTTTCAGAATCGTAAAAACAGATTTTTAACATAACATTGATTTAATACAAAATGAACTAGGTGAACCCATGTATTCAAAAATACGCAGAATAGCATAGGGATTTAAAACATGTAAATGATAATGAATTTTTAGAAAACTAATAAATAATGTAATACAACATGTTAATGAATGTAAAAAATGCGTTTTAATTTATTTGAGTAAAATATAACTTAACCTTTTCCTGTATTAAATACAATATTATAATTGTGTTTTTGATAAAAAAATGTGGGTAACAAGCAGTATTTTGTTTTCACAATCTGAGAGTGTATAGTAATCATAGGTAGGCTTCCAAACAACTAAAAAAATAAACTTATTATTCAAATACATACCTTAGATAATAATGCATTTTTTTTTTTAAATTTTTAGATACAAAATACACAATCTCACTAACAAACTACAAAAAGTACAATTCAGAATCTTATTTTAGTACTATTTCAACTCAATATCAACACCTTTTTGTGCTATTAAAACCTGAACCTGAAGTTATAAAAATATTGATTTCTACAAATTAATATTATCAATTTTTCTTGCTATACGTGCGAAAACAACCAAGTGAAAAGTTATACATAAAAGCTTTAAATGCACTTTTCACCACATACAAATATGCTAGTGGCGAAGCTAATTTCCTAGCAAATAACAAATAAACTTTTTAAGCCGGAAAATAAATGGAAATATTACAAAATCGTACAACAGTACTTTTTCTTAAATTAAAACTTTGAGCCCCAAATTAACATAATAGGGTTTCTCCAAAAAAACTAAATTTTAGAAAAACAATTTAAAATAATTTATATATATTTTATACCCCATTTTATTACACCAAATATAAACCCTATAATACAACTACATATAGATCATTAAGATCAGTTTTCAATCTAAATTAATTGCGTGGAACATAAAAATATCCTGTTTTTGGAACTGATGGCTCCCCACACACCGAATGGTTGCAAGGAGCACAGGTTGGCGGTAAAATTTCATTGCGCATATTTAGCCAAGTTGTTTGTATTCCACATAATTTTCGGCTTCTTGTATTTTCTAATGTTGAAGCAAAAATATCAGCAGCTGAAGCGTGACTACAGTATAACTTATTAATATCAAATGCAGAATTAGGATCGGTTGGACAACCCAGTTGCGGTCTTCTACCATTATTTGGAAGTAGTACAGCATGTCCAATAGGAGCATTGGCACCATAACCATATTGAAAAACATCAGTACTTAAAACTTCAACATATTCGGCATCAGTTGGATCCAACCTATTTTCCGGAGATGCACCATCAAAACCAATATTTGATGGATCTAGTCCATAAATTGTTTTATATTTATTCGGTGCTATTGACTGTCCAGCAGCTCCAGCTACATGTGCACCTATGTCATGCCCAATCAAATACATATTACTATATGAAGCTCCGTTGCAATTTAAAAATTTTGTGAATTTTCCTATTAATGTTCCGACTTTCTTAACCGATGACGATGCTCCTACATAATCTTTTGTATTCCAATCACTCCAATCTGCTACAATAAAATTGTAGTTTCCTGCTTTAAGGTAAGCATCCTTTATAATTGCTGTCTTACAATTATTTACTTTACTTTTCCAACAACTTACACATATTCTAAATAGAAAGTGAATTATATATTCAACATTTCGAGAATGTTCAACATTTCAAAAATGGTATTAATATTTCATTATTTATATAACACTTACCTTGTTGGCAAATTTTTATCAAATTTTGATGCTTCAAGAGAAGTTGCATTTTGATCTTGAATTTCTACACCCTCCGTCAAATTTTCGGACTTAAATAAATAATATCTAACCTTAGGATTCGTTACATTTGGATAAACAGTTAAAATATCACCGTTGTCGCAGTTATTGGAATCTACTGTTACAGACAAACTTTGAGCTGAAAAAATAACATTTATTATAATGTATTATCAATAAACTACATAATTATAAAATATCTTACTGAAAAATATTGTTAAAAAAATACTGATTTGTAACCAGAATTGAAATTTATTTATATTAAATAACATTTTTATTGTTATTCAGAAACAAACTGATAAAACATTGTCAAAAAATTTTCGATTTTATACTATTTTTGTATCGAATCTATCTTGTAATATTATTCAGATCGAAAAATTTGGGTTATTAAAACCATATTGTTCAAAACTAGTACAAATTTACACATTTGGAAAAAAATGCCATTGACGTAGTTTCAAGACACAATAAAAATAATTTGTCTGTATAATAGGCACAGCACTTGTTTGTGTACATCATTTCATGCAGCTATTATGTATGTTTACAGGTGTGTATATGTTTCTATATCATGCTTTTCCTTCATAGTTATAAAGTATATCGCAAACTTTTAGTAACAACATATACATAAGTGTATTTTTAAATTTCAAGTAGGATTTGTAAAAATAATTCAGAAATGCCCTTAAATTCCAATTACCTATTCATTATTAATCTAGGTTAAAACGTCATAACCTCTCTTCAGATGAAATACACCCTCTTCTTTATTTAAGCTTTTTATTTCTTATAATATTCAAAAAAAGTAAAAAAAAACATAATTCCTTCCTGAAATTAACTTTTATTTTGCTAAAGATAAAACTATTCTTTGCGCTTTTTCATGACCTATAGCCAATATCGAATTATAGTAAGCAGTATAGTTAGAGTTGAAATGGCCAATAAATTTTTTAAGTTCAAGGCGAAATAAAACGCGTGAATTTGATGTGAACTGTTCTTATACACTCTGAAAATTTCTGAAACTTTAATTTCTCAAATATTGATATGTATTTAAAATAGTGGATAAAAGTAAACATGTTACTCTTGTAACTAGGATATTATCTGTTACATATTTTTCCCGTTCTTTATTAATTATATTTTTTTATACAGTTAAATTATGCTATGAATTTTATTAAGTAAAGTGACAACAAAATTATACTATTTTATAACATACGAAATGTGACATTATAAGGGCTGAATATAATATTGTTATGTAGGTACTTTATAAAGTATGATAATATGAAACTTTACAAAGTATGATATAGAATAATAATAACAGTTAATGTAAGCCGTTAGTGCTATCTAACAAAAACTTACACTATGAGTAAAAGTAAGCTTCAAAAATAATTTCCTACCCTATACACTTAGTTTTACAATGGTTATTCTGTACTTAAACTACATCTTGTATGGAAAATTCGTTTTAAATGACAATGTAAAATTTCCAACATAGAATGCTTATATATTATAAAGTTCACATTGCTCCCTGCGAAATATTTGCAATACAAATATTTTAAATCATTTTCAGATGATTGTGAAAAACTCTTTCAGTTATTTGCTTAACCCTTTAGTCTACTTGCGTATATAAAGGATGACATTTTAACTGTTTGAGACAAAAAAAAATTCAAATTTTTTATTGCTTTGTTTATAATTAATATTACTGCAAGTATTTAGTCAAAAAATTCGCTATATTATTTGAGAATAAAAGAAAAACAAAGGTTTCCCTTTTTCTTCACACATGTTTGCGAGCAAACAAATATGTAAATAATCAATATTTTTTGAAAAATATTACCGTTGACATCGTTAGCATTATTTTTCACCCCAAAATATGTTTCTAAACAAAAACAAATATTTTCGAATTTACACAGATCCAAAATTATTGACATTCTTGAATTTTTAAATGCAATCAATTATCTAGAATTTTGTAAAACAAAAAAAATTTGTAATTAAAATCAATTTCGTCTTATTGCGTATTTTATTAAAAAAACAAAATTTTTTAAAGCTTTCATTTATTGTATTTTTAGATTGTAAAGAATTAACCATTCCAAGGGGGCAACGGCCAACAATTACTAGTTTGTAAATAAAAGTCACCTGATTTTTTTTTTGATGGTTCACCACCCATTGTTATACAGCAACTCTTGTCAATTGTTGGAATATTTCCAGAAAATACATCGTTCAACGTTGTTTCTGTACCACAAAATCTATTTAATGGCCATAAACTATTAGCAAAATAATCAACTGCTGCACTATGGCTGCATAATTGAGTAATTAGTGAGGAACAAGGACAATGCGGTTGTCTGCGAACTCCATTGTTTGGGAAAAATTGAGCTTGACCTATTGGTTCTTTGGCACCATAACCCCAAAGAAACATATCAGTAAATATTGCTTCCACATAATTTGCATCAAGAGGATCCAATCTTTGTGAAGGATCCATGCCTGCGAAACCTGGACCTGCTGCATCTAATGCAAAAATTGTATCATATTTAGCTGGTGCTATAAAATTTGCAGCAGCTCCAGCAACATGTGCTCCCATACCTTGTCCTATCAAATACATATTACAATACTGAACATCAAAATTGGTGTTTAAAAATTGGGTAAAACTTCCGAGTGAATTTCCAACATCATTCACACTATTTTTAGCTCCAAGATAATCTTTCCCACTCCAATCACTCCAATCAACAATAATAAAGTTAAAATTACCTATGTTTAAATAAGAATCTTTTACTAACGCTGTTTTACAATTATTAGGTACAATCTTCCAATCACCTATATAGATCCTGAAAGGGATAAAATAAGATATATTTATCTTAAGTAAAAATTTATTTAATTTTTTTTTTACCTGGTTGGACAATATCTATTAAAATTGGAATTAGTCACAGAATTGACATCTTGATCCTTTATTTCTTGTCCGTCTAAGAAATTTTTTTGAGTAAATAAATAATATCGCACTTTAGGATCAGATACAATAGGATAAACTGTTTCAGCATTTTTATCATAATTTATGCAATTAAATGAATCGACCCTAGTGCAATAATTTGATTCTGAAAGAATAAAAGAAAAAGATGTTTTAAAAATTGGAAAAAACGTAATTTTAAATTTTCATACCAATTATATTCAAAAATAAAACAAAAACCAATATAACTTTAAAATTAAGCGAATACTTGGACATCTTAGTGATTTGACAGAAAATAATAATATGAAATCTTTCAAAAAAATTAATTTCCATTTTATAGCAGGTTTTTCACTTTAATTTCATATTAAAAATTAATTATTTATTTCCGTAAAAAAACGTACGCATCATTTTCATAAAACTTACGCATCATTCAAATTTAACTTCAAGCCGGGTTTAATTACAATATAAAACAACATAAAAACCGAAACAATATTAACATTTTACAAATAAATTTGGCTATGACAACTCTAGGTTATCTTAAGATATGAATTACAAATATCAAAAATTATTTTAAACTTAAGGATAATGGATAGTACATTGTAAAAATTTAATTGAGACTAATATTTTAAGGATTTACCTATACCTATATAAATTGAATCAGATTGAAATTCGGATCAAGATACCTCTTTAAATTGATAATATTGTCCTGAGGATCTGTTAAAATTGTATAAATTTAATTAACTATTGAGACAACTGTAATAACTTGATCGTACCAAAAGTGGATGTTGAACAGAGTTCCACACATGTTAATAAACAAATTTATGTTACATCAGCTTTTTTCTCTATTCGATACTGAACGTAAAATTCATAATACACTCCAACACAAATGCATTTACATATAATATATCTAATTAAAAGTAAAAATATCTGTAAAAGCACATAATTATTTTTGTTATTGTTGTAAGTCAAAAATTTCTTATCTAGTATTACAGTTGCGACAAAAATATGCAACGTGTATTATTCAAAATACAAAAATGAACTTGAACTTGATATATTTCATTTTTGTTTATATTTTAAGTTGCACTACACTATTATGGCAAAAGTATATTGCTAAAGAACGTGAACCATAAACATAATTTATATACATACTTATATATGTATATATATTATGTATTTATTTAAAATTTAAAAAGTTAAGCAATACTGAGAAACTTTAACCAACTTTCGTAAATGTTCCAAAACAATTGTGAACAAGTGTATGTAATTCTGTTTCTATATTTATATGTACCTATACATACATATATTTTGTACGAAAGATCAAAACTTTACAATTTTTCAAAACAGCGGAATTATTAATAAATTTAGCCTTTAATCAATGTTAAATAACTTTGTTGTTATTTAACGATGTTGTGACTTTGTTTTATTTTTTATTTATTTTATTTATAAAGAGTATTGGTCCAAAAAAGTGGTAGGGCACTTATTTTAGAATACCTTGGAAATTAATATTAACAGTTTTTCATTCATAGAATTTAAAACATGTAGACTTCAGTTTTATTTTTCTTATATTACATCCACATAATATATTTTTATACATAATATTTTATTTATCCAATCCAACACCAAAGATAAATTAAGTGTAATCTATTTCTTAACAAATTTGATTAATAATTTATTTTAAAAATATTAAGATGGAAATGGTCCGGAACAACTAGTTGCAACATAATAATCTCCTTGTTTTTTAGTTGACGGTTCACCACCCATAGTTATACAACAAGTTGGATCAGTTTGTGGAACATTTCCAAGATATACATCGTCCCACGTAGTTGCTCTACCACAAAATTTAATTGATGAGTTTAAACTATTCGCAAAGTAATCAACTGCTGCGGTATGGCTGCATGTATCTGTAATTATCGGTGTGTAAGGACAATGTGGTTGAATACGTACACCATTGTTTGGAAAAAATTGAGCTTGACCTATTGGTTCTTCACCTCCATAACCCCAAAGAAACATATCGGTAGATATTGATTCCACATAATCAGCATCAAAGGGATCCAATCTATATGAAGGAGCCACCCCAGAAAAACCTGGGCCAGCCGGATCCAACGCAAAAATTGTGTTATATTGCTGTGGTGCTATGAAATTTCCAGCAGCTCCAGCAATGTGGGCACCCATTCCCTGACCAATTAGATACATATCACAATATTTAACATTATAACAGTTATTTAAAAATTTAGTAAAATTTCCAATTGAACTTCCAATATCATTTACACTTTTAAATGCTGGAATATAATCTTTCGTCCCCCAATCACTCCAATCAGCAATGATAAAATTAAAATTACCTATGTTTAAATAAGAGTCTTTTACTAACGCTGTTTTACAATTTTCTGGTACAACTTTCCAACCTCCTATGTAAATTCTGTGCAGAATAATGTATATTATATAAATATATAGCAGATATGTATATACACAATATTTTAAACAAATCAACAGTAATGTTTATTACCTGGTTTGCCAGCACGCGTCAAAATTTGAATTTATCAAAGAATTAATGTCTTGATTCTCAATCTCTTGTCCATCCAATAAATTATTTTGAGTAAATAAATAATATCGCACTTTAGGATCCGCCACATTTGGATAAACTGTCCCAGTATTTGTATTATAATCTATACAATTGTTGGAATCTACTACAATAGCGTAATTTGATTCTAAAACAAATATATTAAAGTAGTTTTAAAATATTGTATCTCAAATTTTTTTCTTTACTTATTAACAAAACAACGAGTTTTAAGCTAATCAAAAATTGCAACGCCATTACGATTTGAACAATTCAAAAATAAAATGTTTTATATGAGATTGTGAAAATTAATTTTCATTATATAGTTTTTTTAATTCAAATTGTACTGCGACGTTAATATCCTACTTTTTATATTATATTCTCAATTCCTATTTGCATAGGGTATACATAAGATCAACGAAGAAGAAGCTTACCCGCATTCAAGACAATTTGAATACTTTGCAAGATTAGCTCATTATGAAATCATACTTACAATCTTATACATATAGAGGAATTCAGAAAAAAATAATAATTTTATTTAATGAATTCAATGAACTTTATTCGTATATACAAGTTAAAACTCTTCGAAACTGAAATACTGTATTAATAGTAACTTTAAATTAATTTTACAAAATTTATTTATAGCTAGAAATATTCGCAATACTTAATCTACTTACTATTTTTAAGTGTAGGCTACCATATTGAAAACAAAATGTGGCAAAAAAATTCAATAAATTTTTATTTATACATAAATGTATACACTATGTAAGGCAGACTGTATAAATAATAATAAAATCATAAAAATTAAAGTCAATAACGTCCTGTAATTATTGTATAATTCAATATAACAAAAAATACATTATACTTTGGATTAGTTTCAAATAAACAATTCATTGCGTTTATACTCCTGTGTTTGTAGTCCTATACGTACCGAAATGTTATGTTATAATATATTATACTTTTGTTTTTATTTGAAGCTAATTCGTCATAACATTGTCAATTTAAAGCTACACAATTGAAGCAAAAAAATACATAAAAACTAATACAAAATTATTTGTAACCTACGAAATTTAGCCATTTAGTTATTAGATTAAACTATACATTATTGCAAATAAAATTTATTGTATATTTTTCTATGCATGTTTAAAAATATTCTAAATCAACCAATAAATTTGTAATGTTTTCTTATACACAATTATACCAAATTGAAATAAAAATATGTACATACTACAGTTAATATAGTTGATATGTGCATACAGTTGATATGTGCATATCAACTATATTAACGTACATTAAGTTAACATATCTAAAATATTATTAACTAAAAACTAAACTCATTAACAAATTGAAAATTATTTTAAAAAACGTGCTAACTTTCTATTACAGTCTTATTATTTTCTTAATAAATATTACAAATTTAACAAAATTTCTAACATCTTTATGTTAAAAACCAAAAAAAAAACCTATTACCAAATACACATCTATATTTTACAACACACTTAATTAATATCCTTATTTCAATAATTTTTGATATAAGTATAAAATACACCATCCTTTGGTCTTGAAGGATCACCACCCATATAATATTTACAAAATCTTCCAACTTTTCCATCTTTCATTTCTTTTAAGTTATGTCCTTTAGTTATAAGAGTTTCCCACGGTATTTTTGTTATACAAAATTGATTTGGATTTTCAATTGATTTAGCAAAATATTTTATTGCCATCCTGTGATTACACAATGGATCACGAAATCTTTTTCGTGCACATTCTGGTTGATATCTATCACCAAAATTCGGATAAATTGATGAATGTCCTATATTAGGTTTACTATAGCCGGCCATATGAATAGCTGTTGTTATTGATTCAACATAATTAGCATCCGTTGGATCTAATCTATCAGAGGGATTTTTTCCAGAAAAAAAAGGTGCAGCTGGATCTAATGCAAATATTGTATTATATTTACGTGGTGATATAAGTAATCCGGCATGCCCGGCAACATGCGCCCCTAAACTATGTCCAATCAAATATATTCTTTCATATGGAATTCGAAATGATTTTTTTAAGAAAGTCGTAAATTCAGCTAATTTTTCACCAGCAAATTTAACATTATTTGATGCCGATTCTAATTGCTTACAAGCAAAATCACTCCAATCCATAATTATAATATTATAATTTCCTGTATTTAAATATGCATCTTTTATTATACCACAAGCGCAACTTCGAGGTCCAGCTCTCCAACCATGTATAAATATTCTACAATTTTATATAGAAACAAAAAATTTATTATTATAATTAAAAAAAATTTTAGATTTTTCTGCATAGGATATAAATCTAGGGTTTTCCATCTACATAGGTAATCGTATTCTGACAGAAAACCGTAGAAATAATAAACTTGAAAAGTATTATTTTTTAGACATACCTTATCGGCCATCTAATATTGAAATTTGATTGAACAATAGTTTTTCTCTCAAATAATTTTAATTCTTGCCCTTCGTATAAGTTATTCCTTGTATATAAATAAAATCTAATTTCTGGATGTTTAGTATTTTGATAGTTTCCAAAAAATAATCTTGTTTTAACACAATGTTTGGCGCTTAATAAGTTTTGATTACAATCAATTGAACCTAAAATTTAAAATATTAGTCATATGTTAATTTATATACATATGTATGTACAAAAATTTAATGCCAAAAAATAAGCCAAAATTTAATTAATTCTAAATACATTTGTATATATTCTTTAAATGTGAAAATCACAAAAAAAAACAGAAAATTGCCGAATAGGAAATGTACAAAATGTCCCAAAATAATTGAAAACGATTGACAATGCAAGAATTAAGTTCAAAATAATAAACACAATTCACAAAAATCTACCCGAATAATTTTTTGGATTTTTCTTTTTTCTTGAGTCATCATTATAATTTTTTTATTTTCAAAAATGTTTATGTAAAAATTAAGTAATCACATCTACATATATACATTTATAATGAAAATCACTTATTTTAAATGAAATTTTATTAACAAATTTGTTTCACGATTTATAATTTTACAAATTCATATGTAATAAAAAATAAATTGTATGGCAACAGAAGCATAATTAAAAAAAATTATTTAAACATAATCCTGAATTTTATTCTTAAATTATTATTTCCCAATAACAATAGTAATATTAATATGTATAATGTCTGCAGCAAAATAATCATAACAGTAATTTAAGTATATTTACTACAACAATTTTTTTATAATGTTGTGTAAAATAATATATAATTGAATACTAATAAAAAAGTAAAAAAAGAATAACCAATTTAATGTTTTTTTTCTATCACTTTTCCACATCTTTTATAATATTTTAATCTCTTAATTTTATTTTTAATTCCATCAAAAAGTAAAAAGCAGCCAATTATTTTAAAATGTCCTTAATTTCAAATATAATATCATACAAAAAAAATTAGAGATCACACAATTAGAGATGATAAATTTGGCAATAAAAACAATATTCCCTGAGATTTACTTAAGAACTTTATCTCATCTTAATTAAACCATTCGATTAAAACACATACTACTAATTAAATAATGTTGTGAATCGTTTTCTAACTTACTAAATAAAATAAAAAATATAATAATATTTACAAAAATCATCATTGGCTTAATGTATTCGCATTCTAAATAAAAACTAACAAAAAAATTGCAACTTGCATTAATTTATAATATTTGAATTATATACTTATTATTTATTTGTATTAAACTGTCATAATATTGTATACCATTATACCTATACGTTTTTCAATTAGAGAACATTAACCTTATTATAGTATTTGAGAGCAGGAGCCAATAAGTTAAAAACAGATTGTAAATCGTAATGTTTTAAATTTTAAGCCTTTTTTCAATATGGTTTAAATGTTCCTTAAAAATATTTTCATAACAAGATTATTATTAATTAAAAACAGTCGAAAAATTTTCTTTTGAAAGAAAAACATAATGTAGAAATTAGGAAATTCTTTTAAATTTCTGAGACTTCGATAATTCTGTGGTAATTTAGATATTAATATAAAACACGTTTGATAAATCAAAACTGCAAAATCTGCAAAAGTAGCATGTTCGAAAATAACAGTTGTGCATAAAGTTCTAAAAGAGTTTTCAAGTTTCTTTTAAAATATTTCAAATTAGAAGAGCATGGTTTTGAGTATTTAAGTATTGGTTTCTGCAGATTTGTAAATACGAGTGAAAAGACTTTTAAGCTGCACCTGCCACGTCAACCAACCAAGCACTTTAATTTTTTAATCTTTTGCAATTTAATTTGCTTTTTAATATGTCGCATATACTTGCATCGAACTCCAAGACGAAGAATTTAAAAATTTAATATTATAATTAGGGGCTTATAAAAAGTACATACTATTCAAATTAATAATATATTTTGAGTGTAACAATACATATATTATTTACTACACATGCAAGTTAACTTAATTAATGCTGACTAAAATAATACTACAAATAAGTAGAAACAATTAAATATAACTGACCTTACGAGAAATTTAAATAATCAATTAAAAGTAAATATTTTCTTTATACAGATGTTTCATTTAATTAAATATCAATTAAAATAATTACTTCTCTGAATACTTAAAGGTACTTAACTTAAAGAAGTCATATCTGATGAACAACAAACAAAAAATAATTTATAAAAATTTTGACTCAAAATATGAAAAAAGAAAAAGTAAACAATCTCTTCAAATAATAAAAAACCTCACGTGATTAAAATTATTTTAAGTTTTTTTTTATTGGAAGAACAAAAACAAAATACGTGAATGCCCGGCTGTATTTTGTATGATTTTTAATCAAATATTTAAAAATTTTCACTATATTTCGAAAATCAACTTCTATCCTGATTAATTAGTAACTACATATGTATATGGTTTGAATAACATGTATGTTGTTAAATTAACTGCAAGGCATAAGCTTAACTTAACTTGTAAAAGCTAACTTTTAACTCAAACTATATGAACTATGTACTACATAATTTACAACTCATTCGTCAATTCAATCCAAAATTTCATTTGCTAGAGCTATTTTCAAAATCACTTATTTGGATCTAGTTTGTTGTAATATTTTATGCATTAGAATCCTTATTTTGATAATGTTCTAAGAAGGGTCTTAACGTAGGGCGTCAACCAAAATGCAAATCTAACGTAAATTTATTTGACTTATTCCGCAATTTAATTTATATTGCTGATTATCAGATTGATGTTAGATCTGTATTTTGGTAAATGCACTTAGACTCTCATATTACTTAGTTATCAAACAAAAAAATAAGCCAGTTAAGTTCCATCTATTTCAAATATTTATTTGAATGCTTCCGAACTTTTGTGTTGATATTAAAAAATATTGAAAAACAAAGAAGAATATTATATTTTTTTTTCAAACATTTGCTTCAGTTGTCAAATAAATGTGAATGTATTTCAAAAAAGTGAAAGAGCCAAATATTAAAATAATTTGTTAATATTGAAAAACATTTAATTTAAAATTTAGGTTTGAAATACATAGTTTTTCTACACTGTTGAACGAAAATGCACAACATAGAAGAAAAATGGATGCGACTATTTGATAAAAAGCAATCATATGAAAAAAATTTTGAATTATTTACTGAGGAATTTGAAAGAATTTGGAAAGAACCATTAGATTCTTCCCCAACTATAAATATTTTAGATCAATATATAGAAAAAGATATTCTGGGTCAAGGAGCATTTGGAATTGTTGTGAGGAATTCATATAATTTATTAAAATTTAATATCAAACTTGCAATTATAATAATGATCTTAATTCTAGAAATTATACCAAAATAAAAAAGACCAAAAGTACAGTGCAGTAAAGGTATTATTAAAGGAGTTTTTGGTTAAAAAGAAATTAATACAGCACATAATGATGGAAAAGAAAATTTTGTCTTGTGTATGTTTTCCTTTCGTTGTAAATTTAGAATTTTCGTTTAAAGATCATTCATTTATTTATTTGGGGCTACCATTCATTAGTGGCGGTGAATTATTTGTTTATCATAGAAAGTAATTATTTTTCATATATTTAATATGAGTTCACATTTTCGTTTATCTTAGAAATTACGTACATAAAAAGTAAATAAGTTACACTTTCCTCAATAATAAAACTAATATTTTTTTAAATTCAATTGAATTGATAGTATTTGTATTTTAATAATTCAATTGTTGGTATTAAAAAATTTAAGATCTTTCAATCTATTGAAGAAAACTTTTGTTTTGAAATACTAACGAACGCTCCAGGAGTGTAATTTTCTCAATAACGAAAAAAAGGTAAAGGACCAAGCTCAAACAGATTTGCTATTTTTTTTTCTTGTAAATTTTATAGTTTTTTAAGTCAGATCTAACAAATACAGTTCCTGGATAATTTAAAACACATGTAAAAATATTGAGTCAACCATATTTAATTTATGTATGTACGGTAGTATGTATGAATATTCATATGTGCTTACATAATTAAGTTTTTTACTTTTATATTGTAAAAATGTTCCATAGACAGAGTTTTTTAGTTCTTTTTTTTATATATTCCATTTAGAGTTAAGAAGTTTAACGAAAAAGATGCCAGATTCTATGGAGCACAAGTTTTTATGGCTTTAGACTATCTACACAAAGCAAACATAGTTTACAGAGACTTAAAGCCGGAAAATATTTTGATTGATAACAGAGGTTATATAAAAATCACAGACTTTGGATTTTGCAAGGTAATTCATGCGTGCCTACGTAATTTATCTTTTTGTTGAAAGCATCCCTTTGTACACCACATTCATTAATTTTCATAACAAATTACATATGTACATACTTAACATACACCATGTTGTTAGTTCAAAATTAAATAGAAAAAATACATAAATACATACGTAAAATATGGCATTACTTTCGAACTCAATTTTTTAAAAACAATTTTAAAGCGGGTTGAAGGTCGAACTTTTACACTTTGCGGCACCCCGGAGTACTTGGCACCAGAAATTATCAAATCAAAACCATATGGTAAAAGCGTTGATTGGTGGGCATTTGGTGTTCTCTTATATGAGTTTGTAGCGGGTGTTTCACCTTTTTATTTAAAATCTGAAAATCAGATGGAAATGTATGAATCAATATGCGCTGGAAAATACAAATTTCCAAATTATTTCAGTTCTGATCTGAAATTTTTAATTCGAAATTTATTGGAAATTGATATTACAAAAAGGTACATGATATAAAAATCTAAAAAAATTTATTTTGAAAGTTTATCATTACATTATTTATTAGATACGGAGAGTTGAAAAATGGTTCTAAAGATATTAAAGACCATAGTTGGTTTAGTGGCATCAGTTGGCTGGCCTTATTAAATAAAGAAATAGGATCACCTTATGTACCAAAATTAAAAGATGGCGGAGACACAAGTTACTTTGATAAATTCCATAATTTCCCAATCATTCCAGCTAAAACAGACTTGTACGCGAACGAGTTCGCAGACTTTTAAATACTTAACAATTACTGTTAATTAAATGTAAAACTTCGTTGATTTCTAATATATATGTACACACATACAAAATATAATATATAATATATAATACATATATGTATAGCCTTTGAATATTAAATATGTATTTGAAAATTTGAAAGTAATTTTTTAATTATTGACATAAAATGTACACATCACAAAAACATTTTTCATCATTTAAATATTAAATAGCTACATACTTAATTCTAATATCCTGAAAACATCTTTATACCCATACATCATATAGAGTTAAACATACATGTACATAAATTAAAAATCTAAAATAAATTTTCGCGGAAATTACTAGAGCTCATCTTTCATTGAGAAGGGGTTTTCCTTACAGCTACATTTAAAATCTTGTTGAACTTCTTCCATTTCAGGTAGAATGGCGACTGAATTAACAAGACGTTTACTCCATTCCTTCAAATAAAATATTACATACATCATTTATTGAGAACTATATTAACTTAATAAATACAATATTTAAACAAAATCTCACCTCGAAAAGAATAGCGTGGTAACAATATATATGACTGGACAATAAATTGCTTTCAGCGAATTTTCTACCTTCTTTAGCAATTTCTCTAGCTCTAGCATCGTTTTCTTTCGCCCATTTAATTTTGCTGACTAAATCAGATAAGTCTCTCTTTATAGGAATAAAATGTTTATTAGGTATTAATTTCAAATAAAAATGCTCATAAAACGGGGATTCTTGTTTAAAAACGGTACCATCGCCTCCTAATAAATAAGGCAAACGATAACTTGCCACACTTCCATCAATATTAATTTGAAATTTATACTATATATAAAAATCAAAAATTATATTTTTAATTATACGTTAATAAAAATTTTTTCAAATTTTTCAAACCTTAAAAAATTCGAAAAATGAGATGTGCGCTACTTTTGGTCCATATTTTTCTTCCTCCTCCCGAAAGAAGAAAAAATTTGTTATAGAAGCGTTTATTATATCTGGATACATTCTGCTCAAATCAATAAGATTTAACCTTTCTCTTCTAGAATCCCGACCTCTCCAAAAAGCTTTATTTTCTTTTTCTGACCAAGGGTAAACACTTTTTTGAACTGAAAGCATATCAAGAGTCACACGTCCCATACTTTCCAGTGATGATTCAGTGATATCATACGTGGGAAGCACGATATCGTATGTGTCAGAACTACCACACCAAGAAAATATAGGATAGGGGCCAGATGTCCTTTGTTTACCCCCTTTCTTTGACAAAGGATAATCTCCTAAGTTTAAATAAAATTCAATGTCGGGTAATTTCATCAACCTTGTCATTGAAAGCAACATTGAATCCATGAACATTTTGAAACCGGTATATTTGCCATAGCAAACTCTATAAATTTCTTGATTTCTAATAACGTAATGGCAAAGTGATATACTTCCTGGCGAGTTGAATTTTTTCAACAAACTCTCTCGTATAGAACTAAAATTTACTTTTTTAAATGGTTGCAAATCTGAAGTTATTCTGTTTTCCTCTCTCCTGCATTCATTATCGTGCAGCCACACTGAGAGCTCTTTTGGACAATAACATTTTTCCGAATATATAGTTTTTTTAATCAAATATGGCGAATCAGCTACGTGACTACCATTATATTTAATATGTAATTCAACGTTATCACAGTAGTCGAGTATTTTATAGCGCACAATAAAAGAACCATCTCCTCGATCTATGATTTCATGATGGTACCGGCATTTGCCATAAGGAGAGTGGCCTTCAAGAATAAATAAAAATTTTGCGGACGGAGGAACTGAAAACCTTTTTATAACTTAATATTGTTAATCCAAAACATTTAAATAAAAAGCTTACTTTACACCACTTTTGTCAACAGCGTGAATAAAAAAGTAGCGTGCAGGTAACGTTATAACATCTGGTTTTAATCCTGGACCATAAACTAGAGTTTTAGCATTATCAACAAAATTAGTTGTGCAGTGTATTATTGGAAAATTTGTTAGGATTGTGAGAATTATAAAAAATATTAAATTATTAAGAATTTTCGATTTGTTCGTCATGTTATTTTTGATTAGTAAATAAATATGTACATATGTAAATTATTAAAATTTTTAATTAAAGCGACCCATTTCTTTTTTGTTTAATGTTTGTTATTAAAAAAAAACTCTGATAAATCGAAAAGTGTCAGCTGCTAAAACGAAACAGCTGCGTTTATACCGATACGGTACTAAATGCTCGTACACATGTTATGTAAACTGCACCGGTACGATACTACTTGGTATATAAGAATATAAGTTAATGTCATATTAATGATTCTAATTCATTTAGATAAATAAACAGGTGTATCATATGCATTACCAAAAAAGAATTGAAATTTTTTTATTTTTTGTTTAATTTGTCATTAATATGTTAATAAAACCATAAAAACTATTATATACTTTATTATTTTCATTTTGAGTATAAGTTATAAAATGAAAATGTAGTCTGGTTTAGCTTAAATAAAAAGTGTCAAAATTTTTGGGCAGCAAAAAAGTTTCACACAAAAATATATAAACATATCTTTTAAATTGGATTTGTGTCTTAACAATGCATATATAATCAAAGTGCCAAGAATAATACTTTTTGAACAAAAATGAGAGAAAATTGTGACATTCTCATTTTCTCAATGTTTAAAGTTTTTTCAAGTTTTGTAAAGCTTTTTCAAGTTTATACAGCTGTCGAAACGTATGTTTTTCTTGGTTATGTCAGAAGATTTTATTTTTGAAAAAAATTTTCATCGACAATAACTTTTTCTTCAAAACATTTCTGTTAAAAATAAAATAAAACCATCAAAATGGGTTCTCAAGTAGTTTTTCTAAATTTCACACCTATAATCCAAAATTAAAATTTTCGGTTTTTGGTATAACTAAAAAATTTGTGTTTATGTTTAATAAATACCTTGAAATTTGACGTTTGTAAGATTTGTATTCACATATTATAAGGTTTTTTTTTCAATTTTTCAGTCTGATTTATTTCTTTTATATGAGAATTTTCTTTTCTTTTTACGAGAAATTTCGTTATTGTTTCTCTTTTTAAAGTTTTTGCAAGTTTTATCCCAAACAGACCTATTATTGTGTGTCTTTACTGTTGAAGTACAAATACGATAATAGATGTACGCATATAACATTTGTGTTTACATATTTGCGAAAACTGCTTAGAATGCCCATTTAAATTTAATTTAAATTTTTATATTGCTATATTATGATTTAAGTTTTGTGGTTAAATTTTTAAAAGCGGTAATCAAAGCTTCCGCATTTCCAACGCGACATGGCCTATCGAAATTTTACCACGCACTGTACTGTGTACTATATATATTTTTTCTATTGGAATATATAATTTACACACATTGTGTGTAATATTGCACATTTATATGAAATATAATGAAATAGCTAATATACACGCTTGCATAAAATATAAAAAACAATTGAATTAATTTTTAATTTTAAATGAAACTAAATATCCAACGGAGCGCGGTGCAAAACATATTACATATTGACATTAATATTGGCATCACTAATTCTGTTCAGGAAAGAATATGGGAACCAAATGTCAAATTCATTTGAATAAATAATAAGCATATTATTCTCACATGGGTCGTGCGAATTAAACATCAATTCAGTAAAAAACAAAAATGTTTTCTTTTTAAAGAGGAATCGAACTAATTTTATACTTTGATTAAAAAATTTTATATACTATACGTAAACAAGATGCAGTCAGCAAATGCAAATTTTGTTATAGAATTTACATCAAGCTTACCTTCACTCGCAAGAACCGGTAAATTAATATGCAGGAAAGGCATAATTGATACACCTCATTGCATGCTTACAACCAAAGGAGGAAGTGTACCTTACTTATCGCGAGAAGTTTTAGGATACATAATAAAAGACAACATGATAAATCAGGTTTTACAAATTAATCTTTGCAACACCAGTCATATGAAAGAAGCCTTAGATGACATCAACACCGGAATATCAGCATTTGTTGGGTATAAGGAACTTCCAACTTTTATTTCTTTAAATGATCCCTGTGAATTGACGCCATCTGGTTTTCATGAGCAAAATTTTGTACCAATGTTTACAAGAAAGGGTAAGGAACTATTAACTTCTACCAAATACATGAAATTAATGGTTTCAATGCAACCAGATATTTATGAAGCGTTATGTGATTCAGATACAAATATTTCTAGTACTAATAAAAGAATTTTTAAATCTTTGAACAGATCACAAAAATTTGTGAAGGAATGTATTGAAATACACAAAAATTCAAATTTATCAAGAGCAATGGTTATAGCACCAATTGTTGGGGGTTACTGTAAAAAGTCTCGCATTTCTAGCATAAAAGCAGTAAAAGAATTTTCAGATATTTTTGGAGGTTATTCTTTAAATGGTTTTCATAATAACGGTTCTTCAATTTTGGATGTTCAGCCAGAATCTATAGTAGACATAGTTTCAGAGAGCGTAAAGGAGATTAATGACGAAAAAGTAAAATTTATGCAGGGGGCGTATGACCCCGTTACAATTCTTGATTTAGTAAATTTGGGAATTGATATATTTGATACATCTTATCCTTACCTCGTTACAGAAAATTTTAATGCATTGAGTTTTGATTTTAACTTTAATGAAAAAATCCGAAATACGTTTTACATTAATTTTGATAAGGACGAACGTAAGGAAGAATTCATTCCGATCAGAGACGATTGCAGTTGTTTCACTTGCAAAAACCATACAAGAGCATACATATATCATTTGGTCAAAACCAAGGAATTATCAGGACCGATACTATTAATGATACACAACTTGCATCACTTTTTAAAATTTTTTGAAACTATTCGAAAAGCTATAAAAAGTAAAAGCCTCACGAAATTAACAAATTTTATGAAAAATCAAGTGCGTAATACAAATTTAAAATTAGTTATAGGAGGAAATAATGATGTTAACAGCAAGAAAAAACAATTAAATTTAGAAAAATAATTCGAAATTCTACTCTAAGAAATGATTTTTAATAAATATATTTTTATATTGATTTACACATTGCATCGAATGAGATTATCAAAATCAAAAGAAAACACTTTAAAAGTGTCGAAAAAATGTTAATACACTAGGTCTTCAATTTACGACGGCAATGTTTTCCGAAAAACGTCGTTGTAAGTCGAATCGTCGTTAAACGATTTTTTTTTCAAAAGTACATTCGTAAACATATCATATGTGTAACATAAAAACATCCACTACATTTATATGTGTATATTACATTGCTTTATATATGCCTTGTTAAATAATTGACAATATCGTAATAGTCAGTTTTGTTGCATGAGATTGTGTAACATCCAAATTGCAAGTAAAAGGCAAATTTTGGAAAGTTTTATGATCCAAATTGTAAACTAAAAAATTTTTACAAAGTCGAGTGATTCCAAATGTTAAGCAAATGCCAAATAAAAGCAAGAATTAAATAAACCGTTCATTTTGGATTTACATTAAAGTTTTAAAACTTTAGTAAACCCTTATTGTAGTTTCATTATAAAAAAATTTAGATCGGGAGCGTCGTAAATCGACTGCCTAGTGTACATACATGCATGTTAATGTATGTATGTAATACCATTTCTTCTTGATTTTATCAATAATTACATGTTTGTATAATTTATTTTTTAATTATTTCTTGGCCTAATATTATATTACTAGTTTACGCATATTTTTGGGTTTCCAACAATTATTATAATTATAACAACTCTTTTATGTTCCCTAACGCGTTTCGAATTTTTTAATTTATGTCCACCTTCAAAGTATAAATTAAAAAGCAACTATTTTCGTCAAAACAAATTTTTTAATAATTAATTTTAATAGAAAAATTCATCTTTGCTTTCCATTTTTTGCTTCTTTGTTATTAAATATAAATATATCCGATTAAATCTTTATTTCTGCTCTGAAAATGCTAAATTCGAAACGTCGATACCTTAAGCAACATAAATAAGTTTTTTTTAACTATAGTAATTTTTATTGGAACTTAAAAAAATTATGTACACAAATATAACATTTAGAAGAAAAAACCGTACCCATTGTGTTATTTCCTGCATTATTAACGACAAATAAAATTTAAAGATTTTAAATATACTGGAATAGTGTTTTCTTTTTTATTTTGGTAAAGTTTTCAAGATAAATGTATTATAAGATTACACTAAAAAATTCCTGATAAATAACAGTTTTGATTCAAATGTTTATGAAATAATTAAATTAACAAATTTTGGAAATTTTTTCAATATACTTCTAAGTGGACTCTCGTTGCTATAATTAATGTATTTGATGAAGTTTCACAATTTCTTTATAATAATGCAACTGCAAATAAATTTGCCAACTTCATTAATTTTACTTGTCTAACATATTACGTACAGGCAGTTTAATTACTACTTTTATAACATTCAATATTATTTTGACTTAAAACATGTTTTAACCTTAAAAATATACTGCGTTTTCTTTAAGTTGATGTACTATTAAAATCAGACGAAAATTATACATTTTCTTTTCCTTATTTTATTTTTATTTAGCATTAAAAATAAAAGTTAAATTTATGTATATATTATGTTAGCGAAGGATTTATTTATGCTTCCAATTCAAGTGCTACACCAATTTTATGACCACCAGCATTGAAATTCTTGGCATCAATCAATGTTGATAAAGTTAAAGTAACTCCATCACGAAGTCGCTGTTGATATCCCAAACCGACTTGGCTTGCATTATTTACTTTAGCGCGTACAGTTGCTTCTGAATCTAATTTGTAAGTGCAACCAATACCAAATTTAGTGGCATTTGAACCAGAAGTCCAAGATAGTTGAACACCGCAGTTTAATTGATCAGAACATTTCTGGAAAATTGATCCACTGAATTCTTGACCATCATTACTAAAACAAAAAGAAAGGTATCAAATATCCTGGTTCGGTAGTTTTCAATATATACTAAGTACGTATTACTTACACAGCTGTATGTAAGACAAAATCAGGAGTAGTATAACCCAAAGCAAAATTATTTGTTGTTATTTTAGATTTTTGTGTATCAAAAGCTGTTTGGTATCCAGCTAACCATCCTTGGTATCCAAATACACCAGAAGCATTAATTAAAGGACCAGCCAAATCGGCATTTATGTCTGAATTAATTTGGACATTTTCTTGGCCATAATTAGCCTTGAATTTTCCACTTTTGTTTCTATATAATATAAAATCATGTTTTAAAAATATTTTTTTAAATCACAAATTCGTTATACCCAGACTGTGGAGCAAAAGATCCTTCGAAAGACAATTTAAGTCCTTCTAAAAGTTTATCAGCAACTGCTACTTCAGTAAACAATGTGTTATCGGTATTCCATTTTTCAGTAAAAGTTAAACCATAATCCTTTACTTTGTATTTGGTTTCTAAAGAACCGAATACTTTTCCAGTATCTTGATTTGAGTGTCCAGAAGTGGTGAATTCAATATTAGATGGAGTTTTAGTTTTACAATCCAATTTCCATAACCCAAAATGATATCCTTTTCCAAAGATGTCACGAGCTTGTTTACCTAAATCTGAATATGATGGTGGAGCCATCTTAAAAAAATATTTAAAACACAAACGTAAATAGACACATTACAAAATTAGAAAAAAAATATATGTATGTATTTTAAAAATACATGCATGCATAAATATGTACAAAAATAATGTAAACCTTTGTCGAAAGTTTATTTAATTGCTAAATGACTATATAAATAAAACTAAATTTCCCTCATCACCTTGGTCAAGGCTCTATGAGTTTATTAACTTTAGGCGCTTCCGACATAGAAAAAATAAATAGATACACATATGTATCTACATACATACAATATCGTATGTGCAACAGTTTAATTTCAGCATTTAAATTTTTATTTCATTTCTCATAGACAAAAATATATATTTAAAAATTTTTTTCTAATTAATTACCAACACGTATAGATTGATTTATTTTTAAAATAATGCGTTATTTGCTACACATAGCTTGATAACAAAACCACAACAACTTCTCTGATAGTTGAACGACACTATATACATGTGTACATATGTATGTACAAAAAGAGAGAAATATTCGCAAATATAAGTCGCAATACAAAATGATTTTGTTGTTACAGAATTATTTCAATACATACATACATAAGTATTTGAATTTATTTCTTTAGATTTCTTTTGCTTGTTTAGTTTGGTTAGGACATTGGCTCGCGTTTCTTTTAAAAATAGCTTTTGTTTGAAATTTTTTTAAAAATAAGGAAAGTTGTTTTTAAATTGTTGCCAACTTACACTTTCTTATTTTTGTATTGTTGTTTTTCTTAATACAATAGTTTTCTAGCTTTAAATTTATTTTTAGACCATATTTCTCTATTATTTGTTAAGCGAAAATAAAATTAATATTTTAAATGGAATACAAATGGCATTAACTAAACAAGATTAAATTTATTTAGGCACCTACCAGAAGAATATATAAAATTATGCAATTAGGAAAATATGTACAATCATATTTTTTAATATCATAAGTACTTTATAAATGAATTAGACTTATCCAGATAATAAAATAATAACTTCAGAAATTAATTCAAAGAATTCAAATTATTTATACTATATATTTTCTAATAGTTCTTATGCCTAAATTATAAATTTTGTATTGAATTCTTATTTTAATTAATTTTTTGCTTTTCCATTAATTCAATAACCCGTTCCGTAGCCGATTTTTCAACATCTAAAGGTCGAGCTAAATCTTTATTTGGAAACTGCATTAGATTTTGAACTGGATGTCTTAAAGTAAAAGGTGTCCAAGGACCTTGAATTGATGGATTATCTGTGTGCCACATTTTTCTCAAACGAATTGAACTAGATGGACCATTTTGGGTTTTTAATAAATTCACCCATTTATTTATTTCATCGCGGGAATTATTTCGACAATTAACCCATTCTCTTTCTCCATTTAAATATTCGGCAACCATCACTGGGGTTCTATGTCGCCTAGGCTTTACATATACCACAGTTCCAGGATTATTTTTTGCAAAATCAATTAAGTCATTTTCAATGAAATCCCTCATGCCCCTACTTGATCCATTGTTTTTGCAAAATTTCAATGTGATCCTTTGCATTTGAGGAACAAATCTTCCTAATCCATTCTGTAGTGGAGCACGTGGAAAAGCTGATTTCAAAAATAGATGGCTGTTGGACATTTTAAATTCTTGCTGGATATTTTACCATAGGTAGGTATATGCAACAAATTTATCGTATTGTTGTGATCAACCAAAATCTAAAAATTTCACGTGTTTTAGAGATTTTTAAGAATAATTATTATAGTGATACTTTTTATTCTTATTATTAAACTTCAATTTTATAACGTATTTTCATAACGTCTTTCTCCTTCCATTAACCTCATATTTGCCCAAATTTAAATAGTTATGTATGCAAATATATATCCATACATAAACTTTTATATGTATGTATCTAATAAAAATAGAAGATTTTATTTGTGATTTAAGAATAAATTTTACCTGGGCAACTAAACAGTAATGCAATTGATATAAATATTGCCTAATATGTTATAAATTTTTATGAATATTTTAAAGTAGAAAATCTTCATTTTTATGTAATTCCTCTTTACCATTAGCATGTGATTTAAAAAAAATTGCCAACTTAATAAAAAATAACATAATACATTAATTATAAAATATACTAATAAAAATAATTATTTCCTAAGGTATTCTGCTTAATTTTAAATAATTAACACATAATTAACAACTTTTGATATTTCTGAGTAAATTTTCACTTTTCTTCGTGTAAATAGGTATCTACTTAATATATGTATGTATGTATGGATATGAATATCGATTTTTTTATTCTTTTGTGACGTCAAATTTTGCAGAAAAAATATTTGAACTTTTGAAAAGAAAAAAAAAAAAACACTAATTTTAAAGTCTTTTAAAAGGCAATAAGCTTTAGCAAAGAAATTTTCAGCTTAATTATCTAATGGGAACAGCACAATATTTTTTTATGAATTATGTATGTACATATGTTAATCTAACCCCAATTTAAAATTATTAAAACCAATCAAAGAGTACATTTGAAAATGTACCAATTACGTAATTTCAAGTCAGATAAAAGTTAAAAATTAATCAAATAACCGGCATATTTCACCTTTTACTTGTTATAGGAATTCTTCTTAATAAAAAAAAAATTACCTATTATCTTCAAAAATAACTATTGGAAATATTTCTTTTAATTTTAAAGATAAAAATTTTCGAATTAAGTAACCTATTTTAATGAACATTTAGAATTTCAAAGATAAAACTATAAAATCAAAAAATACACTATTTTTCCCATTTAATAATAATGGAATAATTACTTACATTTAATTTTTACTTTTGATTATGCTTAAGGAACCAATTAATTTATCAAATTACTTAGTTTTATAAAACTGCGGATTTCTTCACCACACGACACGAGACGACAACCGACAAGAACACGCCAAAGAAATTATTTGAGTGGACTAATTTTCAAATGTCAAATATATACTAGGTGACATTTATACTTAAACGTCACTCTTGACAATTTATATTAAATGACATCTTGTGGGATCTAGTGGTGTTTTTTTAAAACAATTTCACATCACATAAAGCAAAATAATTTTAACTTTATATAAACGCAATGATCATGATAGTACCTAAAAACGGAAAAATCTTTCTGTCCATTTAGGTTCGGAACTTCAGGTTATTTTCCGTTTCCATAAGTTAGTCAAATTTTTTCATCAAAAACTTGGAAATAGGCAAAATTCATTAAAAAAAAAAGAAAGAAAAAAACTCAGAAATGTAATTTTGTTATAAATACATTCGCACTTTTAGTTGTCTTTATATCTAAATGTCTTTATAAAGACATTAGTCTAAGCCTTGATATTTTTGTTATGTCAAAGTTTTATGTATTTACATGTACACAACCAAAATTGTCATGCAACCGAAACAAATTGAGTCCAAATTTTCAATCCCAAACGTGTGTATTGTTTAGCCGTGCACATTAAAACAATGTTTTGATTGTCACTTTTTATATGAACCCCAATTATGCTTTATAATTGCAATAATGTATAAACCCGTCGACTCAATTTCTATATACCGCAGGGCCAATATTGTAATTATGATTACAGCATACCAGTCTGTGTAAATTTAACATAAAATATTATATCGAAAAATGTCGCTTCGCGAAGCAAAATAAAAAATAAGGTTAATTTAAAAAAAAACCTATTATAGAAAAATTTCATTAATTTAATAAAATTTTCAACGCCATGTTTTTAAAGGAGAGCTCGCCTCATATTCTTACCTACCCATTTATTTTCAGTTAAAAATCAGAAACTTTTAGAACTCTACGTTCATTAAATCTATGTTCCCTAAGTTTGCGGAAAAGTTTCAAAAATTGTTTCTTTGCAACTTATGACAAGTAAAATTTTTAGTTTAAAAATATGTAATGCAACAGTTTTTTATTTTTTTATTAAATTTGTTTGAAACTAATACGCGAAAAAAACAAAGAAATGGGATAAGAAATGTACGAAATGCAATGATTCTTACAAAACGCGCTTTCCGGTTGATTTCTTGGAATTTTTTAGGAAACTTTTTGATTTTTTATTTTTTCTGAACGCTTCACTTTTATAATATAATATTATGTGAGTCTCCCAATAAACTAATCTTTATCTCTATTTGAAAATTCGGTTGTCAAAATGACATTGATATGAAAAAATATTTTATATCAAAGTAAACAAATATTTGTAAAATATAATCCTTATTAAAAACTTATTATTGTCGGCACAATTACAAAACTTTTCTCCTTGAAGTTTTATTTTAGAAACGTACGCATATAAAATGGACCTATACGACGATTTGGATACTAAAAAGCAACTTGATGGTTGGTCATCAGGTACACATAAACTTCACATTGAAGTGTTTATTAAATACTTCCATATACTTACTTTTAATTTGATACCATTGTTTAACTTCTATTTCTCTTAGGGATTAAAATGTTGCAAACACAACTAGCGATTAAAAAAGCTACTTTACCTCCACCCAAAAAGGAGGTACCAAAAAAGCCGAGTCTAATGCCAACTGTAACTTTAAGTAGACCAAAGAAAGTTGAAGATCTTTTTAGCAACAGCGACCACATAAAAAAACCAGAGGTAAAGAAATCTCAAGTGCAAGTTACAGTTCCTGTTGGACAATTACCCCCAGCTGAAATAACGAATGAATGGGATTTCGTAGATGAATATAATCCTTTATGGCCAAATGAATATGAAAAATTAGTAAAAGATAAACGAGATCGGGATAGAGAGAGGGATAAAAGAGATGACTATCACAGAGACCGTAGGAAACGAATTAGTAAACCTCACGAAGATTCACCTCCCGTGAAGCTTTCAGGATTTGCGGGACGCTCGAATGATGAAGATTCTTACGAAAAATCACCTCCATCTGCAACACCTTCGCGTACTTCTGGTGTGGCAATTGCTCCACCTCCTTCGCTACAAGAAAGTACCGCAATCATACCAGAGAAATTAGAATTATCGAATGCGAATGTGACTACACCATATGGAACTAGCTCAGTTGCAGCTAAAATTATGGCAAAATATGGTTTTAAAGATGGACAAGGTCTTGGTAAACAAGAACAAGGAATGTCTATTGCATTACAAGTTGAAAAAACTTCCAAAAGAGGCGGTCGAATTATACATGAAAAGGAACTATTCATACCCCCACTTCCACCACCAAGTCCACCAGCTCCAGCTCCTGCAGTAATTGAACCACCTAAACCGGAACCCAGTATAACGGAAATTATGAAATCTCCAAGTAAAGTTGTACTTCTAAGAAATATGGTGGGTCCAGGTGACGTTGACGCAGAATTGGAACCAGAAGTTAAAGATGAATGCAATACAAAATACGGTGATGTTGTGTCTGTCGCGATACATGAAGTGCCAGGTGCAACTCCAGATGAAGCAGTAAGAATTTTTGTAGAATTCAAACGAATCGAAAGTGCTATTAAAGCAGTAGTCGATCTTAATGGACGTTTTTTTGGTGGAAGGCAAGTAAAGGCAGGATTTTACGATTTTGATAAATTTAAAAGTGGTCAGATAAATTATTAAATAAAATAATTACATTCAACTCGTCCTTGTATTTTTTATTACAATAAAATATGTAAAATAGGTTCATTTAGAATTCCACAAGTTTTTATGATTTATCAACAGATGTCGTAACAGCTTCAAAGATCTACATAACCTCAATTTAACCGCAAACTCAACCGTTAATATTGGAATAAAACGATTAGTATTATAATTTAATATAAAATTTCTAAAAATAGATTACCTATTACATATTTACTTTAATTCCGAAAGATCAGATGTTTCTGACATTATTGCCCACTGTGGCGATTTATTTTTATTTTCAAATCGCATAAAGTATTTTTATATTGAATACATTATAAAAATAATATCATTGCACTTTAAAATAGTGCATATTAACAATTGAGTCGAGAGAACTACTATTTTATTCAATATGAAAAAATTTAAAACTGAAGTAAATAGTGATTTAGGAAGATATGCTCTACTCGAGGAAGATATAAAATGTGGCGAAACCGTTGTCGACGAAGAACCATTTGTGTATGGACCAAAATCAGGTCCTGTAGTTTGCCTCGAATGCTGTGGTCCAGTTGACCTGAAAAAAAATAAATTTTGTCCACAATGTAATTGGCCATTATGCAACGGATGTAAAACTAAGGTTAATGTTCATAAGGATGAATGTAATATATTTAAAAGTTGCAAAGTAAAATTCCAAGTGGATAATCTTAATTTATTCAACTGTCCTCAACTGGACTGTATTACTCCGTTAAGGTAAGTAATTATACGAATGTAAGAACTGAAAATTCTGAAAATTGCAATAGTGGTGTTAAAATATTGTTTTTCCTAATTTTATTTATTACAAATTTTCCTTAACTTTTCCTTCTCCATCATTTCGCTATTATTTTACTGATTATGGAAGGAATGAGCCGGTCACTATTGCGCTAAATGAGTGAGCCGGAATGTTGCGTTGTGTTAATTCTAATAATTTGGTATTACATTCAACTGTTAGCTTGAGCATTCTTAAATCTAGACTTTTGAGAAATTAAAATTAGTTATAATATTGCTTTTTTCTCGTTCGTTTCTATTTTTGCGAAATGGTTAATGCATAATTTAAGTAAGAGTTGTTTGATTTTCATACAAAAAATTAAAGCAAAAATAAAGATTTTATTTTTTAATTTTTGTAATCAATGCCTGAAATCGTATAACATCTTTAATATTATCTAATAATATCATTTACACTACTTGCAAATCGTATTTAAAGATTTTTTTTATATTTAGGAGTAGGGATTTTATTTTTAAAAATATCTATTAGAGCATCGTTTGGAATAAAAAATTCCAATTTAATCATCTCATTTTTATATTAAGACTTGCCATATTTTTACATTTATTTTGATATAGATTACGATTTTAATTATAAAATTTTATTTTAGCAAATTATTTATTTAGAAAATGTCGCAAGAAAATGGTGTTCAGATTAGTCTTATAGTAATTTACTTTGAGGCGTTCAATTACACGATTAGACTCTAAAAATGAGAGAGAAATGTGCAGATTAATTATGTATCGCTTTTTCATCTCGCATTTTTTTCCCTTTCAAATCAGAGTTCTCCGTTTTTCTAATGGATATTTCATTTTTCCAACAAGATTAAATATGTATTTATTTTTTCAATTGGGTTTTTCATTTTTTCTTAAATTATTGACTGGACGGATCACCTTAAAAAACAAATGTATGTCATTTCTCCAATAAGATTACCCATTATTTCAATTGGATTTTCACACTCCTTCTCAAAATACCATAATTATAACCTATCACATTCAAAAACAAATTTAATGAATAACAATTAAATTTTGTATACATTTTCAGAAAAACGAAATATACAAGACGAAAAAATTCTTGAAACTCTAAAATTACATTATAAAAATATAATGATAGTCACTTACTTTCTTCTCACTTGGTGAAATACACGATCATGTTAATAAATAGATCTCCAAAAGTTAATTCAAAAATCAATTTATTGTGATGTAGGAAATGTCCTCCCATAAATATTTCTTATATTAATATCTTATTCAATTTGGACAATGTCTCTTTCTCTCTTTAACTCATAATATTACATTAAAACTATAGTAAATATACTGAAAAGTATATCAATTGTAAAATAAAATCTCTAGTCCACGTCCACGTCCATGTCCACGTCACAAATATTTAAGAAATTTAAACAGACATTGCAAAAAAAGAAAATTAAATAATTTATTTGATTTGGAACGAAATCAAAAATAAAAACGTTTTTCATCAGAAGTTATAAAATGAAATCTTGTGACAAATATATACTAAAAAACACACATAAAAACATGTAGATATTTAGATTTTCCCAGACAAATAACAATATTTTAACAACATAATTATATTCATATTTTTATCTATACATACATATAATATATATAAATATATATATATATATATATATATATATATATAAAAAAATATATATATATATATATATATATATACATGTTTTCGTTAATAATAAAATTTTAAATAAATATACAAAGTCTTAAATGATGTATGCATTTAAAAATAAATATTTTTGTGTTTTCATCATAAAAAAATATTAATCAATAAATAAATAATTCATATAGCATCAAAGCAAATTTATTCATGTACAATTTAAAATATTGTATATTATTTTATTTCATGTATTTCAAATAAAAAAAATTAAAGGTTAGGTACTGGTAATTGTCCCAGCGAATTGTAAGATATGTTCATTGCATATTTTCACTCAAATAAAACGAATATTCAAAATATTTTTTTTTTATTATTAAAACATAATTGCTTTTGAAAAATTAAAATCTTTAGTTGTATAACACTTTGTGTTTTGTGTCAATTCTCTTAAATTATATTAATTATTAAAATTACATTTAAAACAAAGATCGAAATCTATAAAAATTAATTATTGCTGTTTGAATGAAATCTATATAAAAAAATTCAGTATAAAAAATTAAGTTGCTTTAAGAATTATGTATAATAATAATATGAAAAAGATTTTAAAATTTTAGAATAATATTGAGTTATGTGAACACTCTTTGACTTCAAAATTGCGGTAATACGTTTTTGATACACAATTCGGTTTATGATGCGTTATATATTGCACAATTTCACCAATTTTGACAATACAATATTTACTGCAATTTTGAAGTCACGGACTACATATTTATTTTGGAATATGTGTTTTGTTATTACATAATTATACCCGTACGAACGTATGTTCGAAGGGTATACTAAATTTGCCTTACCGTTTGTAACGCTAAGAAATAACGGTCTTAGATATAGACTCAAGTGTATGTTTTTGGTCAGCGTCGAATTCTGAGTTGATTTAGCTTTGCCTGTCCGTCCGTCCGCCCCAACGATAACTCAAAAACTAATTGAGTTAAGTTCACCAAATTTTCACAAATGATTTATTGTAGTAAGTGCCAGAATCCTATTTAAATTGGACATGATCGGGGTACCGGTTCGGGTAGCTGCCATATAACTTCAAAATTTATTTGGCTATATCTCAGAAATTTTAGAAGCTACGGTATTGAAATTTCACACAAGCGAATATATTAGTAGGGCTAACGTGTTTGGTAAAAATCGTTGAAGTTACTTGGCTCCTTCTGGTAGCTGTCGTACAACTTTAATAGTAGTTTGACGCACACAGTATTTCAAAAAACACAGTACTGAAATTTGGCATAAATTAATATGGTAATATGGCAACTTAAAGTCATAGTTTGTCCCATAGGCAGTCATGGCATATTTATTCACATATAGGACTTCAAATTCGTACGGGTATCACAGAGTTGACAAGATCAACTCTATTTTTTCTCGTTCTCGTTTTCTTGTTCTAGTTCTTCATCTAGTTTTACATAAATGGCAGTTCAAATGATAATTTGGCATACATACATATTAAATACAAGCATAATAAATAAATTAATTAATTTCTTGTACAATATTACAAATGCAAATCTTATTTAATAACATAATCAGTTTTTTTTTTTCTTTGCGTATATGAAAAAATTTTTTTGTACATACATACATATTAAAACAATATTGTATTTTTGGTTATAAGCAAAATTTTTAAAAAAATTTTAATTTTTAAAATTATTTGCGGTAGCCACATTGTTATTTATTGTGCTGTTATAGAAAAATGTATAAAACTATTAAAAAAAATTCTTAATCTATAAATGAAAATAGCATTGCCAAACTAAATTTTAGAAACTAAAAAAAACAGGACGAAAATTAAAATTAATTTTATTATATATGTATGTATATATTAAAATTTAATTAATTCTAAATTTTCATATTGATGTTGTATGTATGTACATATTAAAACTTAGAAATTATTACATTATTGTTGTTTAATTTTAATAATCTTACAATAACAAATTATTAGTAGGGTAGAAAACTTATAATATATGAGTTTTTGAATATTCATTGGCCCCCGGGTTTTCGAATATACCTATAGGGAATTATTATATATTTAATTCGATTGCAAGAAATTTCGAGGAGATTCCTCACGATAACATTTGAAATAATTTTAGTTTCACATTTTAAATACAAAATATTCGGAGTTTTCCCTTAATGCAGAAAACATTTTTTTCTAATGCATTTTTCTTACATATAAAAAATTCTCAAGAATATTTAAAATATAAAGTAATCATACAGAATGTGCAGAATACCATAATTGTCCAAACAAATTATACATTAAATTTTAATTATATTAATCTAATTATTTCTTAATAAAATATAACTTTTAAAATTATCATTAAAGACAATTTTAATATATCTCCGACTCAAACAACTTTAATATTTAATTTTGACCTACGCACAAAATATTTTGCTCACATCCTGATTCAGAATAGTCAGTTGTCAAAATTCGCAAAAAAATTAAGTTTACATTTTGCAAGTTTCTTCTTAACAAGGTGGCATTGAAGTTTTTTGTAATGTAAATATCTGTAATTCTAGAAGGTAAGTTTTAAATTGTAAGTTTCAATTTGAATATTATATTATACAAATGTATATTATATATATATATTATGAAATATATATGTATATCTGAATATATATATATATAAATACATATATATATATATGTATGTAGATATATATATATTTTGTTTTTGGAACATTGGCAATATTATACGAGTATTATTCAATTTAGCGTACGTTAGAAATATTTCAATATTACGTATACATATCCACAATCTTATAACCGCATATACATACGTACTATACAAATAGTGTCGACAAGAAATAAATAAAAATAGAATATAAATAATTTGAATAGAAATTTGCGCGTGCTTAACTTGAATTTGTTAAAAATTAAAAAAAAAAACAATACAATAGATATTTCTTAATAAACTATTTTGAGCTAAATAAATACCCGTATTTCATGTATATAATGTACATATAATATTATTTATACATAATATGTGTATACATATAGGAAAAGCATAATGTTAATATTGAAATGTTATTATTTCATGACCTCTAATATTATTTTATCATCAGTATTATAAGAATTTTTGAGCTTTGAAGATGGTTAATAAATTAACATTGAATAGTAATATAATTGAAATAAAATCGAATCCAATATTGGGAAGATATTTAGTAACAACTGATGAAATAATTTGTGATGAAATCATAATTGAAGAATTACCATTTATTTATGGTCCAAAAGTTAATTCTCCAGTTATTTGCTTAGGATGTTATTGTAAATTAGATTGTAATAATGATGGATCACGTTGCCCAAAATGTAAATGGCCATTATGTGAAAATTGTATTGATTATAATAAAGATCATCATTTAGAATGTAAAATATTTAGTGAAGCTAAAACAAAATTTCAAAATTTAAATAATGATACATATGGGTGCCCTCAATTGGATTGCATAACACCGTTAAGGTAGAATATGTTAAAAATTATATAATTGATATTAAATAATTGTTCAGACGTTTTATTAAATTTTTTATTCGTAATTGATATGTTAAAAATGAATATAATTCAAAAGTTTTATAAAATTTTTTTATCGGTTTGGTTAATTTTTCTTAACTTCTTCTTATTCAAAATATTCCTTTGTTCAAGTACAAAACCTTCAAAATTATTCGAATTTCTTTGTGTTTTTAAATGTTGCTGCATTACGCAAAAAATAAGTGAATGTTATTAAAAATTTTAAATTCGAATTTTCAGTTAAATTATTTAAATTATAAATTATAAAATTAATTGTATTTTAATATTTTATTTTATATTCGATACGTTTTTGACAAATTGTGTACTTAACAAATAAAATGAGATTTTTCAAACGAAATTTAATTAAACGACAGAAGCTTTTGTTTTGTTAATATGTAGATCTTAAAAGTGTGCTTTTACTTATGTTTGTGTGTAAAAGTTTATTTTTATCGACCGCATTGTATACAATGAGATAGATTATGTGATGGCACGAAATTTTGGATGTCGAATTTTCGTATAATAGTAAGTAAACTACTTACAGGGAGATGTCGGTCTATCCGCCTGTAGGTCTCTTGGTCTATCGGTCTGTGTGTGCAGACCTCAGGAATTGAACCTTTTTGCGGGCCAATTTTACATTTTTGCGTATATATAAAGAGAAATAATGAACCAATTTCCTTGAAATTTAAAATTTGAATTTCGGGTGTTAAAACAACGATTCAAAAAATTTTTTTTAAAAATCAGGACTCGGAAACCGAACTTAGGGTCGATTTCACATTTTTTACCATACCTACGGAACGGATTTGAAAATTTTTGAAATTTGATATTTGAGTTCTGCGGTTGTTACCGAAACTAACTGGTGAACTTTTTGGGGGATTCTGATAGTGCAAAGCGAAATTCTATTAAGAGCCATTTACACTGTTCTAATTATGTTAGCTAAAAATTTACTTATTTCCTTAAAATTGAAAGGTAGTATTCAAAATGCATTTTCATAATCTTCTGTAATACTTTCACTAAACTAGGCAATATACATTGCGGTCGGTTATGTACTGACCACATCAGATTTTTTTTTATTCCGTTCCTCGAAATACAACGCCTTCTAATATGACATTTCGAGTTTTATGAGTTTCGGGCTTATATATTATGTTGCAGCATAAATTTCGTAATACGCAATTGAAAAATTTTGCAGTATTTTTAATTTTTATTGACCAGGAACCCATTGAAGAAGTCATCTGAAACAATAATAATAACAATACTAATAATAATTATTTGAATATATGTATTTAATTCAAATTGTGTAACATACATACATATAACAGGATGATTCTAATATTTTATTTAAAAAATGTTTGTTTCATCCTTGGATAATATCCAAAACGCATTAACAAATTGAATAGATGAAATTATTTTAATATACGAATAATTTAATTTTTGTATTTTTAAAATGCGTTTGTTATACATACATATGTAAATGCGTTTAAATTTGGTTCATATTTAGAAATTTTTAAAAAAGATTTTTAAAATGGAGTAAAGGTATTTCTTTACGATGAAAAAATCTGTAGAAACTTGCCAAAACCTATAGCAAATCTTAAAATTGTTTTGCAAGTGAAATTAAATCTTTAATCATTTGCAAGTAAACTATCATTTTAAATTTACATACTGTCTTCCAAAAGACAGCTTATGTAATACTTTTTGGAAGGCAGTAATTAGAATATCGTATATACAATATATGTATAATGGTAATTACAGATTATTACATATATCACATATGTTATATAACATATAATTCCCTTTAATATTAGCGCAATGTTCTATTTCCACTCGAGGAAAAATTCTCTTTTCAATTATTATATAATATACTCGTATAAGTCTTGTATACGTCTTGCACACCAAAAATTCATCAAAATTATAATTTTGTAAATTTAGAATAAATGATTGTTTGTGTTGTGATCCGAGAACTGTTGGTTTTTATTCCTTAAATTAGATTTTAAATTAATAGTATTCGATTTAATTAGAAAAAAATTTTCGATAAAGCAATAAATTGTCTTATGAAATGATTAAATCAATTTGATTTCTTAAATATGGGCAAACTATTTTTTTATTAATGTTAAAAGAAAGACAAAATTAATATATGTACTTAGGTTACATACTTTAATCAGAATCCTTTCACATTTGGTCGCACTTCGATTTCTGATTGGGATTTAATTTCAGAAAACTAAAATAACAATTTCCGAAAAATTTCCTAATACTTTTAAATTTGTTAAAAATTTTTTCTATTTTTGAAGTATTTTGTTCTTTTTATATACATACATACATATGAGAAATTATCCTGTTTCTGATAAATACCTTCTTGGATAAATATAAGGATTCGTTTATATTCATCACCTGCTTAGCTATTTTGTTGATTTGAGAAACCGTGTGTTACGGTATTTTTAAAGAAAGAAATTTTAATGCACAATTGCATACATACATATGTATGTTCCTATGTATTATATACGAATTGAATTTGTAAGGTTCTTCAAGGGTCCATTAAATTCAATAAGTTAAATTACCCACTAGGAATATAAATATTTTATTAGATAATAATATGTAAGTCTGTACACGTATTTTGTCTTTTTAATAAAGCTAAGAAAATAATATTTTAGGCACATATTAAGCATATGAAATATTTAAAGCGATTTGATGTAAATGCATACATAAGTATATACATTTTGTTCAACCAAATAAAACATGCGTACACATATATACATATGTACATAATAATTAACAATTTTTTTATTTAATTTAATAAAGGTTGCTGTTGAAAATGGAAAAAGACCCAGAAAGATGGAAAAACGAGGTTGAACCAATGGAATATCATGATAAGCCAAGACAAGAAAATAAGGAGATATGGAATGCCGATTTAATTAATGTTGCAAAATATTTAAGAGGGCCATGTAAATTAGATCGCTTCTCCGAAGAACAAATAATGCGAGCTATTGGAATACTTGAAGTGAACGCATTTGAAGCTCGCACAGCAGCTGGTTATCCTGTACGGTGTTTATTCCCAATAACTGGTATTTTAGCGCATAGTTGTGTCCCAAACACAACAAGAAGTATATACCCTTCGGAAAATTTTCGTGTACGTTTAAGAGCTATGGTTGATTTGAAAAAAGGACAACAATTAAATCATTCCTACACTTATACATTAGATGGAACGGCTGCTAGACAAGAACATTTAAAAGCAGGAAAATATTTTGTTTGCAAATGTGAAAGATGTTCTGATCCTACTGAACTAGGAACATATTTTAGTTCACTCAAGTGTAAAGAATGTTTAAAAGGTTTAATTTCAACAACAGATCCTTTTGGTACGTATGGTATTTAAGAAATTCCTGAATAATAATATGTACATAAGTATAATAATGTACTTACATATATGTATTGTCAACATTATATCTATCTATTTTAATATACATATGTATGTATATTTACATTGAATTTTTGTTAAATGTACATATAATTGATTTTACTTACACACATATAATTCTGTACATTTTTAGATCCCAACGCCTTATGGAAATGTTCACAATGTAGTTCTACAATACCGCATGATATAGTTTCACAGACCATAAATAGAATACAATCGGAGGTCGATTCAGCTTATGCAATAGAACCCTCTCCAGAAAGATTAGAAGCTGTTGAAATTTTATACAGAAAATTTTCAAATACTTTAAGTCCATTACATTTTATTCAAACAAGTTTACGTCAAAGTTTAATAGAAATGTATGGTAGAGTTGAGGGTTATGAAATGAATAAATTAACGACAGAACAAATAAAATATAAAGAAAATTTGTGCCGCCAAGTAATAGAGGTCATTAAAATTTTCGAACCAGGATTAAGTCGCTCGAAAGCGATATTATTATATGAATTACATATACCAGTAGTTTTGCTAGCAAAAACATATTTTTGTGAGAAAAAAATCTCTATTGACGAATTCAAAAACAAACTTCAAGAAGCTGTTGGTTACTTGTATGAATGTCACAATATTCTGCAAAATGAAGATCCTATATCACACGAAGGAAGTTTGTCAAGAATCTCCCAGCAAGCATTGAAGGAATTAAGGGAAAGTTTAGAAGAGCTCTGAAATGAAATATAATTTATAATATAAAATGATAGTTTTTATCTACAAAATAAAAATATGTGAACACTGATGTGTATTATTTAAATATTTATTACTCCTAATAACTAAATCTTATTATACTGACTCTAAATTTTATTTACATATTACTGAATTCATAAATTTTATGCGTCTTCATATATTTTTGGAAACAAATTGGATTTATTTTAATCTTTCTTTCCCAAAAAAGCAGCTGGACTGAAACCCATCATTGCAGCTGCTGCTAATGGATTAAAAGGAGGCGTAGTCATTGGAAAAAATGGTAATTGGTATTGCATTTTATCTTTCTTTTTTTTCTTTTTTACTTTGGAAACGTTTGCAGATGAAGAGCTACTTTCAGAATCACTATCGTATTCATTTACATTTTCATATTCCTTTTTCCGTTTTCTTTTTCCTCTATTTTTAAACATGCTGCCACTGTTACTGATATTGTCAATAAGTAGACGAGTTTGATTTAAGCCTGGAATTAATTCTGTCGCTAAATTATCTCTAATAAACGTAAATTTTTGCTCTGGATCATATTGATAACATTGCTGTAAACAAAATTCCATAAAATTTTGCAACATTACACTTAAATTTGCAGATTTTGGGCACATTTTTAAATTATGATATTTTTCGCCACAATTCTTGCATTCCATAAAACATTGAAAAGATGTGTGACCCTGCAACAACCAACGTACAATAATAAAATTTCAAAAATAGTATAAAAACACTAACCTTTTTCTCGCATAAAATACAATGTTTTTTAGCTTCATTGGAACTTTCATCTTCATCAATTAAATTTTCAAAGTTTTTCAATTTTCCCATGTAAACAATTTCTTCTTCAACGAGATTCTCACATTTCTCATTTGTTTTTAAATTATGTTCCTTATTCTTTTTAACTTTGTGAGTACTTTTTAATTCATCATTGCTACATGTTGCTAAGCTACTAGAAGAATCGACATCGCTGCTAGATTCATTTTTATCAGAATGAGAGTGAGGCTCTTTCTTTATTTTAACTGAGGGCAGTGGTAGAACAGGCTTTGCAACTGTTTTTTTTTCTTCTAGCTTTACTTTTTGGTTTAGTGCGGCTGCCTTCGATAAGTTTTTATTTCCCAATTTTTCATTCGACATATTATCCATTTCATTATTTACCTCTTTTGAAAAATCTGTTTTACTGCAGTTGTTCGAGCCAATTTCATTACCTTTTGTTTCGAATGTGGATTCTAACTTATTGAATTCGCTTTCAGATTTCGAACTTTTGTGCTCTGAACTTTCATTTCTGGATTTTTGATTATCTTCTTCAGTTGGTGTTTTTTCTTTGCAATTTTCATGCTCCGGGTTTGGCCTATTTCTCCAACTTCTATTGTATTCATAAGTATCGTTTCTTTCATATCGAAAAGGGTTTTCCGAATCTCTATTAACATTTTCCCAAGAGTTATCCCAATTTCTGGAATATGGTCGCCTGCATGTTCCGTCTCTACTAAAATTATTATTTCGATTATCTGCGTGTGTGTTGTAACCTTCTTCACCCATATTAGGTGCTTTGCTGAAATTGTCATTAGCCTCCCTACCGTTTTCATCTTCGTGTTCATGATATCTACTATCACTATATCTTCTTTTGTAATATCTTCTGTTATTTGCCCAATATCTATTATTTGAATACCTTTTTCGTCGATAGTCTCTTTGATTTTCATTATTTGATTTAGCGTTATCAACTCCAGGATTTTCATTATTTTTAGAAATATTAACTTCATTTTGCGTATTCTTATTCTCATTTTTCTCTTTAAAATTACTGCTTGGCGCTTCCACATTGAGCTGATCTCCCGAAGCATTATTATTTTCCCGCTTATTTTTATTCTTTCTGCCCATTCCTTTTTTTTTTAAATTTTAAAGCTATTTAATTTGATAATTGTTTCTAAAATTTCAAAGTAAATTATTATTTATCATCGGCACATGTTTTTATACTTCAAATTTCGGCTTGAGTTAAGTTGTCAAAATTTTTCTTGACACCTTATAGTTTTGTTGCTATACTGGACATGACAGTCGCAATAGCTTCGTTTAATTAAGGCAGTACAGTAAGTGTAATGGAAAGTCCATATTACATACTAGGTCTGTCTGGCATAAGGTATTTAAAAATTTTTAAAAAATTTTCTCGATATTTAAAGTTTTTTCAAGTTTTGTAAAGTAAATTTAGAGTTTTAAAAACTTTTAAAATTTTACAGCAGCAAAAACTCATCTTTTTCTTTGTTATGCCAGAAGATTTTATTTTTTAAAAATTTTTTTTGCGTAAACAATAATTTCTTTTTCATTGCTTATTCAGTAAAATTTTTTGACACAGAAAAAAGATTTAAATTAAGATTTAAGATGAGCTGTAAATCAACATTTAAAAAAAAAATAATCTGAAAGAGCATCTTTTTATTAGTAATTCGACAAATATTATTGTACTCATAAAAAAAAGGTAAATTCATTCAAAACAAAAACCTACTTGTCTTTCATCCATATAATTCATAATCGACGAATTAAATTACACACCCCTATTTCTTAGCATTTGGTAAGCCTTTCGAATGAAAAAAAATACGTCAAAATTGTCAAAACTATTTGAATTTGAATTGAATAATTTCGAAAGCGTTTGATTTTTGTCGCAGAACTATAAAAAAAATAAGTACTTTGAGGTGTTAAATAGCCAGTTAATATAAAATACACGTACTTAAAATTAAAATGAATAAAATCATAACGGAAACTTATCCAGAACTACTTAAAGTTCCTACTTTTTGTAAAGGCTTCTTAGAAAATATGGCAGAAAAAATGGTTACACATGAATCATTTGGAAAACCGTAAGTACACAAGTGCATATTTTTATATTTTACAACTGAATTTTGACCTTATAAATTGCATAAATGAAGTTTTGGTAATTAACTTTAATTTCTATTTAAGTGTAAGTCAAGAATTATATTCTTGTTTATGCTAAAAATATTTATTTTTGTTTGATTCAATATTTACATATTTATTTGAAAAATGTAACATTTCCGAAACCATTGTGGATTTGTATACAAAACGTGGAAAAAAATAAAGGTATTCATGGTCAACTGATGATTTTGAATTGGGCGGACCATTAGGCCGTGGAAAGTTTGGGAGAGTTTATTTAGCCCGCGAAAAGAAAACACAATTCATGGTGGCAATGAAAGTTATGTTTAAATCAGAGCTTCAAGCAGGAGGAGTACAAAGAAACGTCTTAAGAGAAATAGAGATACAATCACGCTTAAAGTATTTATACAATAATTTTCAAATTTTGTGAAGATTTAATATTAATGTAATTTTAGACATCCACATATATTACGATTATTCACCTGGTTCCATGATGAGAGGAAAATTTATCTTGCGTTGGAAATAGCTTCAAAAGGCGAATTATATCACCATTTAAAAAATTCACCCAATGGACGTTTTGAAGACTCTCGTGCAGCAAAATTCACTTATCAAGTAGCAAGTGCTCTACATTATTGCCATTTAAACAACGTAATTCATCGAGACTTAAAGCCTGAAAATATTTTGCTTACTGCAGATGATAATTGTAAATTGGCAGATTTTGGTTGGTCTGCTCACACCCCATCCAATAAGTAAAATTCAAAATCTTCTAAAGATTCATTTTTTAAATACATTTTAAAATTATTTAGGAGAAAGACTATGTGTGGAACATTGGATTATTTACCGCCTGAAATGGTTGAGCATCAAGTTTATGATGATTCCGTGGACCAATGGTGCTTAGGAATTTTGTGTTACGAGTTTTTAGTAGGCAATCCTCCCTTCGAATCAAAAGATGCCGCAATGACGTATGAAAAGATCAAAAGACTTGATATAGCTTACCCACGACATTTGAGTACTGGAGCAAAAGATTTAATACAAAAGGTAATATTAATATATTAAAATGAGACACGCCAGTATGAATTTTTATTCATATTTGCAGTTATTAAGAAAATCAAGTAATACACGAATGACTTTAGTTGAAGTGATGCAACACCCCTGGATTAAAAGATTTTGCTAAAAAAAGAAATCAAGATTAACAGATAATTTTTTAATAATTTTAAAAATATTCTTATAAATGTATTTTGAAATTTCTATTGTTCTAAATATATAAAACTTTAGCTGAAAAAATATGTTGATTTTAAAACTGTCTGCAGGTCAAAATCACCCTTGGGGGGCATTTGTTTTAAGGTTTGATTTAATTTTTGCTTTGCTGCGTTCAAAACCAGGTTTTCGCTATTCAATTCACTAAAAAGTTAAAAATACATATTTTAATAAATATAATAAATCTTTAATAAATATAAAATATCTTCTAATGAAGAGGCATTTTTTTTATTTATACCTTTCTTTAAAACTATATTTATTTATCATAAATTTAGAAAGATCTTCTAAAATCGGTTGAGAATGAAGTGCAACAAACTGTTCTCTGCAAATCTGAAATGAAAAATGGCTGTATTTCTTGTATTACTAACCTAGATAATGTAAATAACACTTACTTTATTCATATCAGGAACGGTGCAAGCGTGTGTCCAAAAGCAATCATGAACAGAAATAAAAGTAATTTCATTCCTTTCACAAAATAATGACGTTAACATCATATGACTGGAGTCCAATGAATGTATAAAATTAGGTGGAAAAGCATTTTTCTGCTTCATTACGTTTGGTTTTTCGTACATGTCTAAAGACATTGTTTCACCAACATGAGCAGATCTTGTTTTTCTGTGTTCCATACGACTGTAAGGTTGTACAACCGGTAATCCTAAAGGAGTTGTCCACTCTACATTTTGCATGCAAGTTGATGATATAAATCTAGCACAATCAGTAAACCAGTCTTGAATTTCCTTGGCTGACGTAAACATTTCACGCAAACTATCGAATGTTTTAGTCGTCAAATAAGTTGATGCGGGCCAGACCCACTCTTTTGGAAAATCCTCAATATCTTTTAACTGTCGAGCTATTTGTAATCTAGCACCATATCGTGTAACGCCATAAACAGTGGTCATAACTGTTTGCTTAATTACTTTGCGTCTAACATATCCGTCTAAAATTTGAGCTACATGAAGACCATTGCTTGCATCGGTTTGTCGAGCTTTTTCAACTAGTGTTGCTATAGCACTATATACATCTTGTGGACTATCAGATGGTGAGAGATTGACACTATATGCCCCAGCCACATCACGACCCAAAGCAGCGTAATGCTGCAATCCATTACAAGAGCCATCTTGATGTATAGGAAAACCACTCATATATTCTGCAATTTTTATAATTAGTTTTATTAAAAAATTTTTTAATATACTTTACCTTCCGGGTTTGGTGATTTTAATACTTTAGCTATTTCCATGCAACATGCTAAGGTTTGCCATGGTTCATCTGATTTCGACCACCATTTCCCGCCGTTTAATGGATTATTAGCTGAATCTAAAATTTCATCCATGATTTGTTCAGCGTAGAGAATTCTTTCCCTAACCGATTCACGTTTTTTTAATCCAGTTAAATTGATACAATGAAGTTTCAACCACATAAGTCCATCTGGACCCAATGGTCGTTTTTTATCAAAGACTAATATAGATCGAGCTAAATCTGACCCCAAATGATTTAAGTGAGGTGGAATAGGATATACCCGACCCCTAAAATCCATGTTATGCGGTAACCAAAATACTCTATCCCGATACTGTGGCAAAATGAAAACCCTTATTGTACAAACTATAATGGTAATTTGAACTTACGTGATTTGCAAGAGACAAACGGTATAAAGTATCGCACCATAAGCTATACATTTCAGCCTGCTTTCGTCTTCGCGCCATCTTTTGTTTAAACATTTGAGCTCTTTCATTGTTTGTTAATTTCGAACTTTTTTGGGGAATTGAAGGCAGAGGTGGTAGACTATTTGGTGATTCTGGAACGTCCAATTTATGATCTCCTCCATTTTGAAATACTTCTAATATAACATCTAATATCTAAAAATAAGAGTATATTCACTAAATTCAAGTTAAATTTATGTTTATAGCTCACATCTGTGTTGACTCTCCACGGTATGCTCGATAATTGATTTAAGGAATCTAGTGCTGGGTAAATATTTTCATTTGGCATTTCATTTATTCTTGCCAATTGCTGTATAGCTTGATGAGGCAACCTTATTAAATCTGATTTACTTAAAAGATAACCCCCATTCACAGGTGTGCTCCACGGCTGGGGAGGGCACAACATGGGTATCTGATTGGCATTAAACGTTAAATTTTTTTGTTTTGAGACCCTCAAAAGTCTAAGACACAATGAAATAATAATTAGGATAGTGATGTAAAATTTAACATAAAAGTCAAAGAAAAGAAATATTTTACCTAGATAAAATTGGATGTGGTTTAATTTCTTCTTTTACAAGCCGTCCATGATTTCTATATAGAGTATAAAAAGCTGGAAACAAATTTTTTTTTTGCGCTGTAACATTATTTTTTAAAATATTTGAATCAATTTTTATATCACGTATTAATATGTTATAGAGGAATTTGCCAACATTAATAAGAACATTGTTTGGCCATGGAGTCTCATTTATGTTCATGCTTGGGCCCCATGAACGATTTTCATGAATCAATTTCTGCCATATTTGCCTTGTATTAGAATCACCATTTCTGTTTCGTACACTTTCGCAGTATTCTCTATAAATGTTGCCAGTCTTTTCTAATACACCGTTTTGCTTTTTTGATTCTATGTGATACCTATGAACTATGTAGTTAATTTAAGAATTTATTTTAATATATTCAAAAATCTACTTTGTTTGAACTTTCTGCCCTAGTTCTTTGTACAATTGACCAACTGTTGGACTAAAACTTTCAGAGCCTTCGGCCAACTTTTTAATTTCTTGCAGTAATATATCAGCAAGTTGTCTTGAATCAAGCGTCTTCAAATAAACGTAGTAGGTCATTAGACCATTCGGTTTATGTCTCGCTTGAGCCTTCAAAGCATTCAAATCCCTACTAATAGCTGCACAAATTTGTGATTTCCAAAGTGCGTTTAAATCATCATACTTCTTGCGCTAAAATTCAAATATGGTAGGAAAATACATTTCATATTTTTTGATACTTACATATTGCTCTGAATTAGGAAAATCTTGACTTGCTTCAATACTTTTTATATTTATAATGCCACCTAACTCGGCAGACAGTTGTTCCTTGGCAAATTTATGAAGTTCTTCATTAGAATAGTTATAAGTAATACTGCTGTTTGGGTTTTCTGAACCTAAGTTATGATTTTCGCGCTTGTTATTTAACGAATTAAGTAAAACATTTGAGTATTGCATATTGGGTGGTGTAAATATTGGCTTAAAATTGTGGTCAATTCTTCGTATCGCATCAAGAACAATTTCTAATTCATCATATTGAAAATTGCTTTTATCGACAATATCATTTATACTAAAACCCTACAAGTAAAAAAAAATGCTGTTAATTTTAATATTTGGCTAGTAAATCCGTGTATGCAGCTTACTTTTTCCTTAGCTTTATCTGAATATTTGGTTATTAAAATATTGTTATCGTTGCTTTTGTCCAATCTTCCTATACATTCAAATATACTTGCAAAAGTTTGATGATTAATTTCTACACCGTCTTCATTCAATATTTGCAATAAGTTTTCAATTTTATTTAATTCTCCTTTTTTAGCGTAACCATGCATTAAAATATTAAAAAAATCAATAGGAATAGACTTTTTCTGGTCACATATTTCTAATTTTTTACATCTTTCTCGATAGAACAAAAGAGTTGAAAATGCTCGACTTAACATTCCATTTGATACGCAAATATTAATATAAGTTGATAAATTAATCAAAATTGAATTATATTTAGCAAGTTTTTCCTGTTCTAAAGACTTGTGATATCGTGCGTTAAATCTAATTAAAAATTATTTGCTTAAAATTAAAACAATATTTGAATCTCAAATAATAATTTACTTTTCATTTTTATTTAAGGACTTGTTACTATTTTTTGAATTTATGCTTTCACTTTGCAAAAGTGGGACTGACTCTGACTCAACGACATCCAATATTTCCGACTGAGTTAAATCTTTTTGTATCTGTAAACTATTGATAATTATTGTAAATTACCTATATCTTTTTTTTATTATACAAGTAATAAATAAAAATTGTTTAATTGCTTAATAAAATCTACACTTACTCTAAATTAACTTCTTCTTCTTCTTCATATTTGATGTTCTCAATCATATCCTTTAAATTTTCAAAACTAGAAATGATATGTTCCTTATGCTCATCATTTATATTAGCATTTCCTTTCCTAAAAAAAATTAACGGCTTACTGTCACATTCACCAGCTGGAAAAGCGCCGCTTTCAAACATATCAATATCAAATTTTTGGTATTCTACTGGTTGAACATGCTTTTTTGGCGAATCTAAGAATTTTTCGCATGAGGCTGTAGTCAACTTTAGCAAATTGTCCTTTTTTTTCTTTCTAGCAGCCTTCAACTCCTTCATTTCTTCTGAATTTAATTGAGAAACTAAAAATCTTCCAGATTCTCTATTTTTTAAATAATCTGATTTTTCGATAAATTCTGATAATTTTTTTGATTTAAGACTTTTAACTTTAGCTTTGATTTGTTTGGTTGTAAGACCAACTACAATTAAGATTTGTTAGTAAAACAGAAAATATTTTCAAACAATAATAATTTTCAACCTTGTAAAAGCTCAACATATTTTCCATACTTATATTTCTTTTTATGGGTCTTCGTTTCATTAGCAATTTCTGTATTTACATGCTGAGATGAACTGAATCTAAGATTAGTTTTATGCCCTAAAAATAATATAGTATAAGAATTTTTTTTTTTAAATATATTCTATTTACTATTTATAAAATAACCACGTTTATATTCATTAACTACATTACTATAATTTCTAAGGCATATGGCTGTGTTTTGATTACTTATTAGAAAAGTTTTCGTTAACATCTTTATATTATTAAAAGAAAAATTTGTCACTGTCATTTGACGATACATTTTCCAAATAGAAATATTAATAACTAATTTAAAAAACTTTTTTAAATTCAAACTTTATAATTGCATAATTCCTTTTTGTTCGAAATATTAATAAAATAGCACGTTTTTAACATTTCTGGCATTTATTTCGTATTTACTTCTGAATTAAAAAATGTCAAATAAATCATATGTCAAATGCGACTGTTTGTTTACATATTATCCTATTTATAATTTCAAAACAAAAGGTTTGTATGATATTCATATCCCAGAAAACATATTTGAATTTAAAAGAGAATAGAGATGGATACTAAACGCTGAACTGATGTATCAAAATAACTGTATGCTTCATATCTCAGACTATTATTTAAAATTAATTATAAGATAAAATCAAAAATTCAACAGTGATAAAATGTTAAGAACTTTTTTCCCACAAATTGTTAAAAGAAATCCAAACCTGGAAACAGTAGCAGCGGAGGATTTCGGTTCGTAATTAAATCTATATTCTATTTCTTCGCGCAGTTTTAAATTAAAGGCATTGCAGAAATACGGATATTTAGACGGTAATTAGAGCGATCGCAAACTAATCAGTCAATAACTATTGTCAAAATCTAGGAAAACCTTAAATTTGGATTTGTTTCGAAGTTTTAAGGTTTTCAATTATGTTGATCGTAAAACTTATGTTGCAAAAATAAAATACATGGTTTAAAGAAATTAAACAAGAGAGGCAAACCTTTAAAGCCTAATTACACAAACCATTTGTACTTTGACATTACAAAATATTTCAAGTATTTCTGTATTTCAAGTATTACAAGTATTTCTGTCAGCTGTGATTTGTACATAAAAAACATTATATAATATAAATATTGTCAAATTACTTTGAAAAATTCTTTTTGATAGAACTTGAACCGGCACTAAAAATATAACTGACGTGCAAGAAAAGTGAAATATATATAATGAAGAAATTCTATTAATTATAAAAAATAACTGGAAAATACGTAAAAATGCGGATATCTTTTAGCGATTACTGTAATAGCATTCCTGACCGATTTTAAATTTAAGTTTGCAGAAATACTATAGCGAATTTGATGAAGAATCGGATTTAAAATAACGAATTGAACCAAGGCTTTATAGTTTGATACACATAAGACTTCTACAAATATTTTACTGGAAGTCTTAAGCAAATTTGATATACATAAAATAATAACATTATCTTTTATACTTATATTATTTTTATTGCAAACACAGAAAAAAAATATATATATATTATAAAGTAATATAGTGAAATTGTAAAATAATATAGAATTTTTTGCCAATTTATATTGAAAATGGTTGTTTTATATTAAAAAATTCATATATACATTATTTATTTATTAAAATACAGTCAAAAATATTTTTTTCTTCTGATGTTATCTATTGTTTAAATATCTTAAATTAAAAAAATTTGTTAATATGTAGTAATACATCGATTCTAAATTTCGCAAATGTACAGTTATAACATATTTAACTTATATTTAATAGGCATTTTACTGTCATGCTATCGCAAATATTGTCAATATACTTATATACGATGTTTCTTGAATAACATGCAATTACGCTTTTGTTTCATCCTAGGATTAGTACTATATTTATTTTATTAATATTTTTATTTTACAAAAGTTCCCTGATTAAATATCTAAAATATGAATTAAATACAAAATTAATTTTTTGCAAAATTATTCTAACTCATTTCGATTCAGTTTAAATTTCCTGTTAAAAAATTAAAACAAAAAATGTATTGTAGACATAAATTTTTTGTATATTTAAAAAAATATCGAACTTTTTACGATAAATATCAATAATAATTAGTATTTCGATTGATAGAATGAGTCCAACTGTTAAATATATATTATATTACTTGGGATACGACTAGTAATAATTTTTGATAAATAACATAAAAAAAACGTAAATTTAAAATTGCGAGTTTTCTTAAGTGTGTATATAAATGTATTCTTCACAAAATATATATAGATATAAATTTTAAAAATATTAAATGTTTTATGTAATTTTTTCTCTATTTTATTTATTTTTTCTCTTTTTGGTTTTTTGCTTTTGGATTTAATCTGTTACCAAAAAATTTTTATTTTGAATTATTTGGTTCACGATGAAATGGCGCAATATTATTTTCATATTCATATTCGGGAATTTTATGTGGTCCTGGTCCAACTTCTTTTATTTTATCCTGAACTGCTTGAAAACTATTACGTATATCATCTAAAGCTGTACCTAAACCAATTTTAATACGATTAAATTCTTGTGTAACCAATGATAAACGCCCTAATAAGAAATTTAAATTTGAATCAACTTCAGCCATTCTACTTGTTATTTGACCAACATTTCCTTCTACACCATCCATTGTACTAATTGTACCATTAATATATGATTCAGTTTGACCTTGAATTTTCTTTAATACATCTTTACTATCTGTTATTTCACTATACATTATTTGTATTTGACGCCATACATGACTTATTTCATTTTCCATTGTTTTACTTAAATTCTTTAATAAATCCATTCGATTTGTCATAATTGTTTTATCTATATTATCAAAACGTTTATTAATTGTTATATTAAAATCAGAATTATGACTTTTAACAATTTCACCAATTTTTTGTACAATTTGATATGTACTAAATTCAATTTTCTTTTGTGTATCTAATATATGATCAGATGTTGATAATAAGATTTTATCAAAATCATTAAATATTTTTAATCCATTTGCTAAATTTGAATAACTTCCATTTAGATCAGTGTAGAATGTTGTAACAGTTTCATTGAAATTTAAAGCAATATTTTCAATTGATTCATTTATATTTTCAGCTGATTCATTAATTCGTGAAGCTATTTTGGTAAATGCTGAAAAAGAAAGTATAATTTTAATTAAAGAAAAAATTTAGTATAATTTAAGGAATTAAATTTCAATATTTTAATTTATTTGCCTAAAATTTTAAATGCAATTAATGCTAAAGTAAAGTATTATATAAAGTGTTATTTTTTACCTTTATCTGACGTAGTTAATATATCTACTTTAAGATCTTCAATTGAATTTATAGTTTCATTTGCTCTTTCATTAATAGAACGATCAATATCAATCATTTTTTCATTTATTTTTCTTAAATCATCAAAAGGTTCTTTCAAACTTGATGAAATATTCTCTAAATATGTTTCCATTTTTATTTCAAATTCTTTGTTACGATTTAATTCAGCTGGTGATGGAGTTGATGGTACTGTTATATAAAAATTTGATAATTTATCTTCCATTTTTGATATAACTTCATCAGCTGTTGCTAATTTAGAAGTTAAAAGTTTCTCAGACTGTTGTAAATAATCTTTAGAGGTTTTCATTAAATCTTTAACATTTTGTGATAAAAGATCTATTTTTTTTATTAATTCATCTTGATTTGGAAGTTGTATCGGTGGTGGTGGTGGTGGTGGTGTTGCTGCTGCTATTGCTGCAGTTAATGTTGTTAATTTTTTATTATTGCACTCATTATTTTCTTTCATCCATTTAAAAATTCCTTCTAAAGCATCACCAACTTTATCTGATTGTGTATTATATTTTTCTTCTTGCTATATATGTATGTATATAAATATAGATTTATAATATTAATATTAGTGAAATAAAACAAATAAATAATTTTTTGAAAATGAAATGGAAATTCTTCTGATAGAATCTTTGTATATAATGAAACGGCAATGGTAATGAAATATTTTCTTGCGAATTTAATTATCAAGATTAAATTTAATTTCAATGTAATTTTTCGTATATTTTACGTACATACACATATAATGTATTATTCATAATGGGCACATATAAATTTAAACATATCAGATATGAGTAAGGAATTATGTATTAAGATTTTCGTTTTTGTAAAATGAAAATCAAAAATTGTTCATTAAAGTGGTTATGTATGCATAATGTAAGAAGATTATAATATATATGTATATATAGCTATTGTAAGTATACTACAAGAGTATACAAAGTTTAATCTATTGAAAGATTTATGGTATTTCAAATATTTGTGGAAAATAAGAACACAGCATACTGGAATATCATCAACAAATGGCTTTCAGCGTTGGAAAATAGCATTCGAAACGAAATAGATAGTTCGCCATAAATTATTAGGAAATTGTCCAAAATATTTTTGTATGAAAATTGCAAATTTCTTAATAATTTAATTTCGGTAAGTATATTATAGGAAAATTGTTATACATAATACAGTCTCAGATTTATTACAAGTTTGCCATATAAGTGATTAAATTTTAATATTGGTATGCCAAAATTAATTAAGTGCACCTGCATCTATACCATAAAAAATCTATATGTTATATTATTTTTTTATTAAATAATTTACCGCCATTAACATTGTTTCGATTTGACTAACACGTTCATCTAATCGGCTAAATATACCATTCATTGGTTCAAATGCTTTTTGACCTTTTTGTAAACTTTGTAAGGCTTTCTTAACCATTTCACCGAGAGCTCTTTCACGATGTTCATGTCTTTCTAATTTATTATCAAGTAAATGATAGGAGTGTACAAGTGATAATATTGTATCACGTATTTCTTGATTCCTTAAAAAAAAGAAAAATACAAAAAAAAGGAAATTATTTTAAGCAAATAAAAAAATATAATATTAAAAAAATTAGTAAAAAATCTTAAAAAAATTAATTTTTTTTCAAAAAATGTTTTTCTTAGGAAAGTAATAAAATTACATCAATGGAATTGATTGCAATAATTTTTTTTTGTTAAATTTCTGTTTAAAATAAATGAATTTGAAGAAAAAAAATTGAAAGAAAAAATCTTGTCTATATAAAGGGATAATGACTTGTAAATAATATGGTTATGTGTGTGCGTATGCTTTGAAAATGCATTTGAAACAAATAAAATGTTGTTAAATTGATGCACATAAAATTGTTGTATTTACTTAAATACATATATTAAACATAATATATACATACATACATACATTTGTGTATAATAATATTAATGAGTGCATACTATAAATAAAGTTTAAACTCATTGTAATTTGATATATTGTTTAAAAAACATGAATAATAAAAAATTAAAACAAAAAATAAAAAAAAAAAACTAATTTTTTTTTTTTAAATGGGAAAATAGGAACACTGACTTCTTTTCTAATTAGGAAGACTTCAATATAAACTCATTTTAATTTTAATATTTTGTTTCGTCTATTCTTTTTCCTTCTATACTTCTCTTAATTTTTTTATTTTCAAATAATACAAAATTACATTTTAGTGTACATATGTAAATACATCTGTGCAACATTTATGCATCTTCATCATCATCATGATTTAAGTGTTGTTACAAATAGCGCGACAGTATAATGTCGCAATACTTCAAATGCATTCGCGCGTTTTCAATTATACAAAAAAAAAATTTTTTCCATGTTTTTAGCATTTTGAAAATTTTTTTCTGAAGAAGTATGCATATTAGTTTCATTCTGTCCGTTCGTCCGTGTATCATGAAGACATATATATATATATCAATTATATACATATTCTAACTTTACTAGAAATTTATTTCCGTAGAAGAAAATTTCTATACTTGTCTTCCCCTCTCTAAAAGTTGAAGCCCATCAAACTTCTTAATATGACAAATTTTTGACTATTTACTGGAACGAAACCATAAGCATTTTTAAATTATGTAAACGTAGAAAAGTAGTGGCTGACTTTTTCTACAGCGGCATAGTTAAGTTTCGCATGACTATGATAAAATTATGGTTAAAATTAGCCATAATCTAATATTCGTTATTTTTTAATTTTTCATATCGTTTTTCTTTTAAACGATAAGTTGTAATAGTCTGAACAAGTTGTAGTAGTCTGAACAAGTTGTAGTAGTTAAAATAAATAATTATAATTTTTGACGACCTGAAGTTCACCAAAAACTTCCTGAATTTATAGAAATTTTTTAGATAAAAGCAGTTTTTATAAAATAATAAAAAAATTATAAAAAGTTTATTTCGTTAGAAGAAAATTTTTGAAACTTCGATCCCCTCTCAACTTATCGTATCTCGTAATTTGTAAAGTTTTGAATTTTCAACCCCAAAATTTCTATAAATTCAGGAAATTTTTGGTGAACTTCAGGTCGTCAAAAAATTATAATTATTTATTTTAACTAACGCAAATAACTCTTGAATTATATTAACGCCTTTTTCAATGTTTTTTTTGTTTCATCCTAATTATATGCAATCATTTAAAATAATTTGATATATAAATGAAAATATGTAATTTAAAAATGTAATAGATTGTTTTTAACAGTATTATTTTCAATTGTAGAAGAGAAAAAATGCTGCTTTAAAAACCATTGATTTGACTTAACTTTATTTGTTTTATTTATGTATATTATTTTATATACATACATAATTCATTGATAGGTACAAAAAATATGTATTTCTTTAAAAAAATATGAAAAATTATTTTGTCACACTAAAATTAAAAAAAAAAAATGTTTAAAATTTTATTTTCTTTTTTGAGAATTATTTTCTCATGAATTTACAATATGTATTTATAACCCTTCCAGTATAAAATATATACATATACATATATACTATATAACTATACATACATAAGTATATATAGTGCACATGTACTTAAAAATAAACTTATAAAAATAAGAGATTATTTTGTAGCAAATCATAAAAACTCTAAGATAATATCTTCATATGTTGCACTATTAAAATAACAAAACAGTAATCTCTCGCTTAAGGTTTTTGGGACTGCGACTTGCGACTTTTAGTGCAGAAAACTTAAACTTCAACTTAAATGATTTGTAGTCGAATTTTTCTGTATTAAGCTGGCCTTATGCGAGGAATTACTGTAATTAATATTTATAACGTTATTGTATCGTAAAACATGTACTTAGCCGTATATGCTTAGTATTCGTTAGCTCTAATATTGGGCGAATTTTAACAATTTATCGTTATTTTTTTGATGCAAGGTTAAGTATCAGAAGTACATTGACACAAATAATTTTTCTTATTTATGATTGAAAAACTGAATCTTGCTTTAAAAAGTGTGTCGGCAAATTTTTGAGTTTACCCAAACATATAGTTAGGCAAGTGGAAACTGCGCTAATATTTTGCTGATGATATAATTTTTTTTTTGAATAATAATTGAAATAAATATATTTTAACTATAATAAAACCTGCAATTATTTCAATGATTTCGTGATTATTTCCTTTTCTCTTAGCACAAGGGTGTTCTTCGATCTTGTACTTAAAGTAATATGTAATTGAGAATTATTTTGAGAAGTAAATCACAGTTCTAATAGAACTGTGGTTAATAAAGTGACAATGGTATTTATCGTAAATATTCTTTATATAATTTAAGTTTTTTGCGATAAATTTAATATTTTATAATTGAATTTTATTGTTTTACATAAAAATATTAATTTTAAAAATTCTATCATTTCTGTAATAAGTTTTTTTTTTTTTTGAAATTTTACAATTTATTTAAAGGAACAAATTTATCTGTCATGTAAAATATTAACAAAATGTTTTAAGTAGGTGTAAACTACTTGTAACTTTAAATTCTAAATGTGTAAAATTCGCATTTTAAAGTAAAATATTTTATAAATAGAATATTTGGCGACCATAATAATAATCATATATATATAATATATTACTAAGTTAATGGCCAATATGTATGTACACAATATACACTCACAGTTAGTTAAATATTTTATCTGGAATAAATTTACAATGAAAAAAAATGTAATAAGGAATTATAAAAAATATTTGAAAAGACATCGTGTATTTAATGGAGAAATTATTACGACAGTGACCTAAATTATTTGACAATTATGATTTTAAACACAATCTATTTATTAGAATATTTTGGCAATATTAGGACAATTGAAGGTACTATATATAATAGATTTTAGAAAATAAATAATTTACAAAAAATACCACCTTTACGTATTTAGCAATTATTAACAAACAGTAATTTGAATACAGTGAAAATTTATTTTATTTTCTTATTGTGTGGTTAAGTGAACCATAAACTTATAAGGATGTATATATACTGACATATATTACAGAATATATACTAGGATTTGCAGCATGTATATTGTAAGAAAATTTAAAAAAATTATTAAATATTAAAAATGTTTCAATTAAAAAACGTTGTACTCTAATTAATTTTCAAATTTTTGTTCAAAATTATTACAATTGTTTTAAGCATATCAATTAAATTTTTTAATTGTATATAGAAAATAAATTTTCCAAATTTAAATTTAAATTTTCTATATATAATATATTGATTTCTATATATTATAAGGAAACAAATTTAGATTAATTGTTTTTCAATCTCATAAATTATGTTTAACATTTTGCTATTTTGTATATCGAATTCGGTTCATATAAATTTTAAAATTATGATAAATTGATAATGGTGGTAATTTTTTTTATACATATACATACATACATAATGTAGTTTAATTTTCTAATATATTGTATGCAGGTACACGAATGCGGACAAATTTTAAAAATCATCAATTTCAATTATTCCGTCAATTTAATTGAACGCACGAAGGCATCTTGTATATATATGTATAACACTTAAAATAATAACATGTTAAACGAATATGGTAAAATATTTAGAAAAATGAGGGCATAGGAAAATGAATATATGTATGAATGTACATATATATAAAAAAAATTTGAAATGTATCATAAATTGTGTTAAGTAATTATGTTTAAAATAAAATAATTATTATACACAAATATATATACAACATATGATATAGAAGTAATACTATAAATTATAGCGTGTATGTATGCATATGAGTATGTTCATAATTGCACATTGCATGTACTAGATTTTTAAGTTTAAAGCAGTTAATTTTTTAATAGTTACAAAATGTTTAAATAAACAATATTTTTGATTAAAAATTCTGTTTCTCTTGTAAATAGATTGTGTAAAATCTTTGCTTCTTTCTTTAAATTCAATATTTAATTTAAACTGAAAATATTATAGGCCTTTGCAAGCAGATATCGTGCGATATAGCGGAAAATGTGCGCTATATTTATATTCCTAAATAATTGATGATTCCTAAATAAAACTGGGCACTATATTTGTATTCCTAAATAAATGATGCTAAATCTAATTTGTTTATAACCATGGTTATTTAGCAATATTACGAAATTAATATTAAGAGCGCACTTAATGCATATATGAGCTATTTCAATTTTATAGAATATTATATGTAGTTAAAAATATATTGCACAAAAAATAGCCGAAAAATTTAATAAAAAATTTGCTCCTCTAACTGGACTCGAATTAGTGACCTACTGTTTTCTAGGCGAACGTTCTACAAATTGAGCTACAGAGGTACTAAGAATTATCGGCAAATTGTTCTTCACATTTGCTTTGTTCTGTAATCTACTTAAATACTTAGTATTGCTTACTTGATGTGCTAAATCAATTTTTACATACTTTGAAACTTTAAATATTAAAATTAATAACTATGTGTATATAATTTTTGAGAGTGAAATAATGAGTGTAATTATGTAAATATCACCTTTTCCATGAATTTTCAAAAATTTTATTCTCTAATACAAAATTTTTTATTTTTCAATTTTTGAAATAAAAGATCGATGAGTAAATTTTGTTTATAACATAATATGTTTACATAATAATAGGTTCTTTTCACGATGCAAACTAAAATTGATACATAAATATTTTTCTCGTTCATAAACCAATATAAACAAATAAAATATAAAATGAAAATTGTATAACACTTACGTAACTTCTTTCGCGGGTGCAGCTGACACCGAACTTATTGCTATAAATAATATCAATACGAACTTTTTCATTTCCATCAAAAATTCCTTATTTTTATATAGTCCTTCAAATCTCCTTCCCTAAAAGATGAATTGAAATTACGAGTATATATGTGATATTAAAAAATTTTTTTCATATAAAACAATATTAATTTTCTTTCTTATTTTAATCTATAAATTTAACCATGCTATCTTATTAATTCGATTTTCTGTAATACGAAATATAAAAGTTATTAAATTGACCCGTGAAAAATTAAATGTAATCGATAATGTCAAATGACGATCACTATAACCGACAATCAAAATTTATGCTAAAATAAAATTTTGCATATCAATTTTCGCATATAAATTTTGTATATAGAACTGATTGACAACTGCTTTGATAGCAAATAATTTTTGACTTGCACATTTCTAAAATTAAGTTTCATTAAATAAAATTAATAATCCTTTTCAAAATTTTCCGTTTTGCACAAAAAACAAAATTAAGTTAAAATGCTTTGGTTAACTGCAATATCGATCATAGGGCATTCAACGCACATTTTACATTATCGATTACACCTATAGTATTCGTAGAAAAATTGCAAGAAAAGAGAAAAAATATTTGGCGCTTTCAATACAATTTTAAATAAAAATGTTGCTAATTGAAAATCTTATTATTTTTTTTTCTTAATTTTAAAAATAAATTCAATTTCAATTAAAGAAAGAAAAATTGCGTATGGTATAAAATTAAAATTACCAATGTAATAAATTTTTTTTTTATTTCCAGATGTTAAAAATTTTTAATGTTTAAAATAAAATTATTTTAAAATTTCTTTTATGATTTTAATAAAAATACAATTATAATTATTAACATTCATTTTACGTTGCAAAATGTAAAATACGTAAATAATGTACACGTATACATTATTTTAGTAAAATTTATATTTTCGCACAATAAAATGCTTGGCGTTTTTATGCATTTTACAAATATACAATTTTAGCTATGTATAATTTACATACATATGGTAATTATTGAATTTGCATTTAATAATTTAAAGCAAAATTAAAATCTACATACATACATATATAAAAACACTTGAACATGAATTATAACAAGAAAACACATAAAAATCGTAAATAATTTTTTATTTTCCTCTTAAACTTTTCTTTTTATTTACCCGATGTACTCGTATATAGGTATGTAGCAAATTAATTTACAAAATCGAATTGTATTGAAATTTTTTGTCTTCCGGAAAATTATCTTTTTGATGATGAATTAAAATTGAATGGATTTAGTTGCTTCTTTGATGGTACTATTTTAATTAAATTTTTGAAAATAAAAAAAAACAAAATGAATTTTTTGAACAAAGAGAAATTGACTATCGAAAGATGACTCGAATTCAATAAAAATAGGTAATATATTTGATTATAGCTGAACAAGGTAAATTTTCATAATATTTTCCTAACAATTTTAATTAATTGAATTTTTCATATTTCAGAAACAAAGAAATGTAATATTTTGCGTGGTTAGAATTGTAAACTCTTTGACTTATAATATAAAAATGCAAATTTGCATTAAATTAATCTGGAATTTCGGAATTCAAGTTTACGGTCATAATTTAAAATTTTCTAAAATATAAGAAAAATGAATTTAAAAATAATTATATTTTAATACTTAGCTCTAAAAATGTAATAGTTATAAATTATATCATAATTAAAAATTTAGTCTGCATATCTGACGTTAAGTTGACATAAAATTTACAATTCCGAACCACTGTACTTTTTGCCTACAATTATATATATTTTATACTGTGCAAATTGGCAAATATAGTTTTGACAACATAAAGGATTTTCTTTATACAATAATGACATAAGAGGCAACTTGTTAAATAATTTTTATATGTAGTACTATTTAGGTGATTTAAAATTTTAATTTCGTAAATAAAATGAATATTTGTTGAGTTAATAAATCTATTCAAAATGATTATTCAAATTTGTTTACTCGCTTTATGTTGCGGAAATTTAAAAAACCAAAGATGTTAAATATAATTATTTATAATTAAAAAAATTATAGTTTTTGAGAATATATTAAATTTTTAGATATAATACTCATTTGTTGCAATAATGACATAACTCAAAAAATACGATTTCTGAGTTAAATATACAGAAATAGACACTTACAACATTTTTTTTTGTTCAAAATCATAAAATAATGCTATAGAACGAGAAGAACATAATAACTGAAAAACTTTAAAATTAAAGCTTTTCAAATGAGCATATTTTGAGTTATGTCAGTGTTGCAGTAAATGAGGGATATATACATAAACTCGTATTATTATATCAAAATAAATTTTTGAAAATATTAATTTACATGCATAATTATTTTCATCAAAAGTTTACATTTTGTTTATATTATTCAAAAAATTTTAATATAAGGTAAGTAACTATACATACATACGAGTATACTTACATACATATAAGCAGTAAACTAGTGCAAAATCATACAATATTTAGCATTTTACATTTTATACTTTGCTATATTAAATTAAATATATACATATACACTAAGTCCTCGAGATACAACATTTTTGGTTCCAGAAATTTATGTTGTAACTTGAATTGTCGCATTAGAAGATGTCGTATCTCGAGAACTTATCATACATACATTTATATTACTAAAAATTATTTATTTAATATTTAAAAAAAATATTGTGTAAAATGTGTATCTACATATACATGCACATATATACTATACTCGTATGTATATAAGAAATTACAGTAAAATATTTACTTAAAAAAATCTCAAAGTATAAACAATTGTCTGACATACTGTCTATAAATTTTCCACTAATAACCTGTTTAAACTAATTCCATACTAGTAAAAACTAATTACATAATTGAAATATTGTAAAATAATAATCTTGTTGAGAAATTCTTAAAAATATTTATTATAGGTACTTATGAGATTTGCGCATTCCCATGATTACCCATAGTATGTGTTCACATTTTAATTATTAATTTATTTATTTTAAATTAATAATGCTTAATATTTTGTCTATCAAAACCACAAATGTAATTTCGTAGCATAAATCAAAATCTTTACCTACAAATAAATAGATGCAAATAACGAATTTCTAAGCAGATCCAAAAAAGGCAATATGTTTTTAGATTTAAGTATAATTTCATGTTAAAATGTGCGGTTTACATTATATAGAATGTAGATAATAAAAATTAAATGAAAGAAAGCTTTTTTTGTGGAGATTTTTACAAAAAATATTCTAATATTGTCAAAGGTCATGAAATTATAATCTAAGGGACCCTCTGAGATGAGAATATTATTTATTAGATTTATATATGGATAGTGTAACATTGAAATTGTTAGTACTTTTACTCACACATATAAATTATGTTATAATTATGTTTTGTTTCCAAAAAAATTTATGTTTTGCATACAGTAAAATTTTTATTTTGAAAATATTTATTTTTTTTTTTTGGTTTATTAAGTTTATGTTTATACAGTACTTATTCAGTAGTTTATTCAGTACTATTGCTTAGTTCATTGCTGTTTAAGTTTTTCAGAGTGTTAAATAAAAATTTTTCTTGGGAATTATTTTTAATCTACCATACATATTACATACATTAATATTTTATAATTTAATTAAAATTTTTTGATAAAATTTTTAAATTTATTTTATTTCGTATGTATATATTTGTATATGTATTTTGATTTTGTTGAATTTAAATAATTAATCAATGTTAAAATTTTGTGTTACAAAGATTTATCCTGAACAGCATCTTCCTAATTATTCCTAATTCTCTTTGAATACATGTTTTTTATTTGTATAATTGTTTTTATTGCATTTATTTTATGACTCTTCATTAACAAATACTTTTGATTAGAAATATGTGATTATAGAAATATGTATGTACGAATTATGTTTTATACGAATTTTGGGAGTTCAAATGCAGTGTAAATCCATTTTTTTTTAATATTAAATTTTATTACACAAAACTAACTAAATTGTATTATAAATTATTTTTAGAATATTTGGATAGCAAAATAATGAAAATTCCAAGATACAACGGCAGAATAGCAATGAAGCAAACTGGACTTCGAACCAGTGATCATTAGTTTTCTAAACAGACTCTCTACCAGTTGAGGTACAGAGATATGAAGTAATTTTCGGTAAATTTTTCTCAATATTGCTTTCTATAGTAATCGTCACGATTACATGTATATTGTTCACATGCGATCAATTCGATCATCTTTCGAATACAAAATCATAAGAACGTAATATTTAAAATGATACTATAAATACTATAACAAAACTATTAGTGTCTCTAAAATGATTGCAATGCATATATCATTACATATCTATAATTAAACTGTTATACAATCGACCATAGACTGACATTAAATACATTTATATAATTAATAAAAATTAAAATATTTACAAAAATTTCAATAATTTTTTAAAATACTAGAAAAAAAAAATAACCTACTTATACAAATACGGTTTAATATAATAAGGTGTGAATTAATTATGTAATAATAATGAGATGCGGTTTACCTATATACATTAATAGTTTAATAGATGAATGAATATTAAAAAAAAATAATAATAATCTATTACTTAATAAATAATAGTTTACACTCTTATATACATATACCCTTATATATATATAATACATTTATTTAAAATATTCATATTTAATTACATATTTAATATTTAATATTTATTTATATACATATATAGATTAAAACTGATTAATGAAATAAAATCATACAAATTCAATAATTAAATATTCTCTTCCTTTTTTTCTGTTTTTTTTTCTTCTTTTGTTTTGAATAATGTGGATTGATAATATTTTTCATGAAAATTATAAAAATGGTTCAAAGATCAGAAAATTGTAATCTTTTATAAAAAAAATTTTTAATGTAAGTTTTCACTTTTTTTCTTCTTATTTTTTTCAATTGTAATAAACGGTCAACATATATTTAAAATTATTTGATAAAATTAAAATTTAATAATAATATCTGTAAAATTTTTTCGGAAAAAGAAATGTTTAGTTTATTAAATGCAATATTAAGAAAATAATTTAGATTATTTAGATAGAATAAGTAGACCAAAAATCATTTACTCACTTTCAGAAATTTTTAAAATTTTTTTTTTGTTTGTTTTTTAAATCCCTTGTCTTCGGTTTAATAAATTCAAATTTTTTTTTTAATTGTTTACAGAAATTTCAATTATGCATAAATGAATTAATATTTTACTTAGTCACAATCAAATTTAATTTTTATATAAAAATCCGAAAAAAAAAAGAAAAAATTCAAAAAAGGCACAAAAATAAAAATAATAACAAAATATTTAATTCTACTAAATAAAATAGAAATTAGAGAAGGAAAACGACCTTTACTCCTGATCGTTTCAATTACAACTAGCCGGTGATCTTTATGAATAATTTACTTTTCACTTCTGTTCTGTTCTGTTCAATTCTGTTTGCTGTTATGCCACTTACTAAATTTTCTCTCGATGTATTGTGATTGATTTGTTTTTTTATTGTTGTTACTGGTGGCTGGCTGGTTGACTTAATTTATAAGAATATTCTTGTTCTTTTGCTTCTTTTCATGGATTAATTTAGAGGCAGCTATATACTTGTATGTAATATCTATATAGTATGTATTCAAAATGTTTTATAGTTGAAAATATTTTCTGTAAATACTGAAATAATTATGTTGCATGGGATATTTTTGCGAGACCATAATTTAATAGTAGAGTCAAAATAAATGCAACAAAATTTTTGATTTGTGCTTCACATTTATCTTCTCTTATATGTATAATGTCCTTTGTATGGGAAAGGTTGATTTTGAATTTTTAATTAGTTGAAATTAAATTGCTTACAATCGCAATTGCATTCTAAAAAAAAAAAAGATTAATAAAAGTTAAGTTTAAAATTTTTTTTCTACTCAGACATGAAAATATGTTGCACTTCTTCACCTACCTTCACTTGCATAATGCATATGGAGCTATTTAGATCCTTACCGCAAAACACCCCTAAAGCAAACGTTTCTGATTTAGTTCAGATAATTTTTTATTGTCATTTGGAATTCATTTTCTTTTTCAATTATAGTTATATGTATAATAAATTGGCAAAGAAATATATAATTAATATTAATGTGAAAATAATGCATACACATATTTGTTTTTTGAAAATTTTAAATTATTTTTGCTTTCGTAAGGAAATCTATAATTCTGTACAACATATCAAATTATAATTAAACTAAGTAGGTATGTTTCTTAATGCATAGTGTTAATTGAAATGTCAATTTTTTATAAATTTAATTTATTTGCCATCTGTTGGCGAATAGAATACTAAAATAAAATAATTTTTATATCGTATATTGCTACAATATTGAAAAACGATATTTTATGGTTAAATATCAAAATATGTACATATGTATGTACTATTTTATAAATCACGTAATTGGTTCGCATTTATGGTCATATTAAAATTTTTATGTTTACACTTTTAGCTTGTAGCATATCCAACATTAACTTGTGTATTTTTTATATTCGTTACCTTCGTTTTTATAAAGGAATTTATTTTCTGCAATCCCAGAATGAATAAAAATTAGTCTTTTGCTTAAAAATTTTTGTGTTTAATTCGAAAATTTTTTGGAATATAGATTAAAAACTTAAATTCTATAAATAAACTTAAATTCTATAATTTAATTAGTTGACGTATCTTGGAGAATATTATCTAGAAAGTATGGGAGAACGTAATTCGCTGCTGAAATTGTATTGTTTTCTTTTTTATTAAGGTTACAAACCCTCTAATAGAATAAATTTATCTTTCATAAAGAAATTCTTCTAAATATGCAATTACTTTTATACACCACTATATATGTTGGCAGCAGTTAATGTCATCACATCACACCACAGTACATTTACTATGATTCGCTCAGTATTTTCCTCGTGACACTGGTTGACATTTTCAAAAAATTCATACGGTGTTGATAAAGAAGAAATAAACACATCACATCATTTTAGTTCCTAATTTTTTTTTATTTTTTGTTTCATGAGGACCATGAGAGGATGAAATTAAATCGACTTGCAATTCAATAAGCTGACCCAATAGGAAAATTTTTTAAGAAAATGCTTAAAATAATTTATAAAGGTTTATGGATATTATTGGTGATAATAGCTAATGTTTATGAGGCGGTGCAATGGTTATTAATGTATCTGGACTCCAAGTATAAGTTATTAAAGCAAATATATTTTAATAATTTAGATGGTATTTATGAAATCAAAGTATTAGAAGAATGCAAAAGTATTTTAACCAAAAAGCCAAATCATGTGTGCGCAATTATTGGAAAAACATTCGACTCTTCCTCTGAAATTCTATCAAAACTAGCAGCTTATGCTTTAATATGCGATATAGATTTCATCAGCTTTTATGATACTAAAGAAGAATTCACTTTGGACCACATACATATACCACAATTTGTTTCTTCTCAAAAAATGTCAAATGGTAGATTTTTATGGTCTATGCCTGCCGATAAAAAGAGAGTTGGACAGCTTAAATATAAAAATGGTTTAGATAAATCTATACAGGTGCGAGACAATTAAATATTGTATTGAGAAATTCTATAATCAGAGAAAATAATTAATATTTACACGCAATACACAAAGTTAATATAATACATATTTATTATAATTATGAAATATTTCTTATATTCAATTCAATTAAACTTTATTTAATTTTTAGGTGGTTTCTTTATCTTGTAAAGATGGTCGTCCACTTTTAGCTGAAGTTTGTAAAGAATTATGGTTACAAAGGGATTCAGATGAAATAAAAGATGCTGTGAATAATAAAAATAAATTAGCTGATAAAATTTCTTCAGAAATTCAAAAAAAATTAAATAATTTACCCGATCCTGATTTAGTAATTATTTTTGATAAAATAATGTGTACGTATGGATTATTGCCATGGAATATAGGTTTTTCTGAATTTTATCAGGTTAAAAATAGTGAATTTTTTAATGTTGATGATTTTGCTAATATATTGTATAAATATTCAAAATGTGAACAAAGATTTGGTAAATAATACAAAAGAATTACATATGTATATACAATATTGGGTTAAAATTTTAGTTAAGCTAAGTTAAAAGTAATAATATTCTTTTTATATATATCCCCAGTTACCTACCCTACCGTTAGTTAAAGTAATATAATGAAATATACTAATTCAAGAAAGATAATTTTATTGCTTTGTTATTTTTCTATTATATGAAGTAAGTACTAGGCTTAAATGGACAAATTATTTGCATAAAACGTACCTACAAGAGTAATTTGCGTTTTTGTGTTTTCTATGATACTTGCATTAACTATAAAAATATTACTCAATTTTTTTAATATTTTCGAAAATGGAATGGAAACGTAGATTGTAGCTCATTCAAAATTTTGCATTTCAAAAGAGTGTTTCAGGAATTATCTGCTATCTACCAAACCAAGAAAATTAAGCATTGCAAACTTCCGCATCCTCTAAGATTTATTACTTAAAATAATGGGTATTATGAATTAAAATTTTACTTTTTTATAGTTTAGAATAAATTCGAATTATGATTATGACTTCAATAATTTTGGATTCAAATCATATGTTGTTGGAGGATACTACTAAAAATTTCAATATTTTTACAATAATTTTTTTTTGAAGTGCAATATATGTATATACATTCATTGGTTTAAAAGTTTTGCATACTATAAAAATTTTCAATATAAAAGCATAAACTCTAATACAGAAATGAAAGCGCAGACTATATTTTTCGGAAATATCCTTCTATTTTTCCTTGGCAAAATTTTTGTGGTTCAAATAATATTTAATAAATATTTGAATATATAATAATATTTATTATTCTAAATAATATTTATTATTATTTATACAATTTTAAATAAAGTATATAACTATGATTGATTAATATGCGATGAACTTCAAAAGGTACTTAAGAAAATTAGATACGATGGACATGAGCTTGTATAGGTTCTCATATGGACGTTAATATCAATATTCTCCTGACAGAAAGATTGTGGGACTGTAACAGATATTAGTTAATATCTAGACTGCTACATAATATGAGAAAGAAATTATAACTGTTATATTAAAAGTTTAAAATACCAAATTCTGCAATCAAACTATGATGAAATCTACTTGAAATAAAACGAATAACTTTTTTATCAGAATTATTTTAAATTTTATTCATTTTCCTGCTACATCTACTTCACATTATTTTTTGTTTTTCTTGTTTATTTTTTTTTCATACTTTTTTTTTTTTTGTATATAATTTCTATATAAATTTTTTTTGCTTTTCTGTTTTTTTGTTTTTTTCATTTTTTTTTTATAATTTTAATAATATTTATATATAATATATAATTTTTAATGTATGCAATGCTATTTTTTTTATTATATAAATTAAATAAACATACAATGATTTGTTTTTTTTTTTTTTGTATTTTTTTTTTAATTTTTAAATTTTTCTTTTAAATTCCAACTTTTTAAATTGTTTTCCCGTTTTTTTCTTTTATATATATTATATTCAATATAATAATAAATTTTTATGGAAAAATAAAAAAACAAAAATAATATTTAAATTGTCATTCATATTATTTTATATTTAATTACATAATAATAATTACATACTACTAATAATTAATTAAATAAAAACATGCATTTATGTATACATAAATTAAATAATTTATTTTACAACTGAAAAAAAGTCAGTCGTTGAGTTGCTTGTTTTTCTTAAAAACATAATATAGTTTATTATAATGAAAATTTAAAAAAAATATATTTATGCATATTTGTATATAAATTAAGAAATTATAAACTTATATTTTATAATACATATATATATTTTATATATATATATATATATATATACATAATTATATATTAATTTATGCGTAATATTAAATAACTAAAAATTAAAAATTAAAAAAAAAAAAAATGAATTAAATTCAAGTTTTTATATTGTAAACAAAAAATTTAAAAATAATAGTTTTAAAAATTAAAGCATTTCAAATAAATTTTGAAAACTTAACAACAAGAGTTTCTGATATTAAAAAGATCTTAGATTTAGTTAGACTTCTTACAAATATATAGAGGAAATACAATATATTATACAATATATTTCCTTCTTTCATTTTTTTTTATATTTATCTTATATAATTACAATAATATATAGTAATAAATTTATAATATTATAATATTAAATTCAAAGAAAAATGTTTCGGAAATCATATGAATGTTTTTTTTTTTTTTTAATTACTCATTAGTTATAATTTAATTATATATTTATAGGTGTATTATACATTTTTCATTTTATATACATAAAAAGATTATACAAATTATACACAATTAGGTTTTATAAAGAACAAAAAAAAAAACATATTTAATAAACAAAAATTATAGAAATGGTAAAATGAATTAAAATCTGCTATTTTTTATGTCTTATAACAATTTTTTTTTTAAATTCAATTCCGAGGTGGAATTTATTTAATTTTATACAAATAAAATTTGTATTAGAATTTTATTAGATTACGTTTATCATTATTTATTTTAATGATAACTATTTATAAGCAATAATTAAAATGATTTTCTTATTCAAAACCGAATTCTATTTGAATTAAATTAAAATTGCAAGTTTTTGGTTGAAAATATTAAAGATTATTATTGTGAAAAAATTAAATATTTATACAGTGTTTTCGACAAATATATTTATTATTGTACCAATAACTTTTATTTTACAATTTAATTGAAAAAATTTAAAGAAGCAACTTATTTTTTTTTAATATGATCTTAATAAGATCATATTTTCGATTTTAAAGACATGTTTAAATGATTATCATAAATTTTCATTAATTTAATTAAGAAAATTATTTGAAAATAAAAAAATTTAACTATAAAAGCAGATCTTTTACTAAGCAAGTAATATAGAAAATAAAAATAATCATTTATATTCTAGATCAAATATTTTATTGTTTAATTTTAATCAAAAAAATATTTATTTTAAAAAGCTACATTGAAACATAATGGGTATTATGCATTTTTTTTTGAAAAAATAATTTTTATATTTAAGTAGGAGTTCTGAAACAAAATCAAATTTTATTAGAAATTAAAATTTTAATAAGAAAAATTTAATAGAATTTTTACAGTGTTTTAAAAAATTTACTCTTAAAATACAAATATTATTTCCGAACCATTTTAATAATAATCATATTAATTTGTGTTTTATTATTTTTTGTATTTTGTGTATATGTATTTGTTTTTACAACTACATATATTATTCTTTTTTCGATTTGTATATATATACGTGTATGTATATATAATTTAACGTATTTTTTTTTTTAATTTCTGTTAAATTTAATTTATTAAATATCTTTTTTTTTTTTCTTCTAAAAATTAATAACGACAAAATTTGTTTTTTGTTTGCTTTTTTTTTATATGACAAGAAGACGAACATTTTTTTTTTTATCTCTTTTCTTTTTTAAATATCTCTTATTCATTATAAATAATCTTATATAAATTTATTTTTAATGGATTTGTTTGTTTTTGTTTTATTAAATATTTGTTTTTTTTTTTTTTTGAATTTCCAAGACAATAAATTATTATAATTATTATTTTTTTATTTTAAATAACATATAAATTATTAAATTTGCAAAAAAAAAAAAAAAATTGAAATAGTTTGAAAAAAAAAACAATTCAATTGTTTTTTGTTTTTTATATAATTTTCATATACCAAAGCAGCAGAAGCATACCACATATAATAAACGGGGTATGGTTATCTTGTAATTTTAAATAAATAAAATGATTTTGAAACATTTTGCTGCTTGGGTAACCATTTCATATATATTTTTTTTTTGCCTTATTTAATTGTATGCAAATATATAATATATTTATAATTATATTGATACTAAATGTATAGAGCATTTAAAAACAAATGTTCACATAATTTGAATGATTATAGTTTAAATTTTTTTTCACATTCAATTAATATTTAAATTGTAATATAAATCGAAAATAGAATGTTTAGAATTTGGACAGAATTATACACGTTCTAGATCATTATAAATAATTCCCGTTCTTTGTCATCAAAATACTTTTAATGGAATTCAATTTGAAAAAACAAAAAATTTATTAAATGAAAGTTTTTCAAAATATATTTTATAATAATTAATATTTTTAAGAATAAAATTATTTATTACTAAATTTATCGAAAACAGCAAAAAAATTTTTTTATTTTTACGATAAAACAACAAAATTTTTAAAAAATAGTATAAATTTTACAATCACGTAAATATTAATTTACAATTGGAATAAAAACCGAAATTACAAAAATTCAAAATATGTATACAATATGTATTTTGTACATGTATTAATTTTATTAATATAACAGTTATAAGTATAAATTAAATTACATAAATATTTTTTTTATATTTAAAAATTTTCTTTTTTGACTTTAAATATTTTTATTAAATCGTTTTTAGAAAAAAATAAAAAAAAAAAAAATTTAATTTTTTTTTTTTTAAATTCTTTGTCTTTATTTTAAAAATTGTTAAAATTTTGGTTTTTTAAACTCTTATTAAATAAAATTCGATCACTTTTATTATATTTTAATTTTCGTTAATTTATTTTTTTATTATTTTAATAATAATATTCTTTATAAGAAAAAAATTGTTTGTTTTTTGTTTTTAACTGTGTTACGAAGATTGGCGTATTCTTATTTTTTTTTGTTATATATATTACATATATATATATACTCGTATTATTTTAAAATTTTCATTTTAATCTAAATATTGCAATTTTGATACATTTTTGATAAATTAGTCACTATTAATTTTTGAAATTTTTCAACTTGGTACTTTTGAATTGTTCAATAATTTGTAGTACAAATTATGGTAGATTGTTATACTAGTAGTACAAAATTAATAATTATTTATTTGTGTAAAAAAATATAAAAATAAAATGAATTACATTTTGTATGAATAAAATTGAATAAATTGATTTAAATTAAAATTATAAAACCTAAATTTTACTAGTATTTAAATTTAAAAATTTGCTGGAATATTTTGAAAAAAAAAACAGAATGTGTTAATCAAATAATGAATTATAAAGTTATTAATTTTTGCTAATTTAAAAAAAAA